GCGGGGGGGGAGCTGGTGTGTGGTGCTGGTGTGTGGCCGTTACTTCACAAACTGAACCATCAAACCTGTTCCATGTGAGTGTGTGAGATAACCTGGTCTTTAATCTCTCTTCAGTCTCTGATCATGGTGTTTGCCCACCTGGTTCACTCCCAGCTGGAGCCTCTGTTGGAGTTCTTGTGCAGTCTGCCCGGCCCGACGGGGAAACCTGCCCTGGAGTTCGTCATGACGGAGTGGATGAGCCGGCAGCACCTTTTCTACGGACAGTATGAGGGTAAAGTCAGGTCAGACATTTTCATTCATCATTGATACCTAAAACATTTTAAAATGTGAACCCATAAAATAAATTGAACCTACAGCCAAAGTTTATATATCGGCTGATTCACTGTTTGCTCTGTCAGTCACATCATGCTCGTGCTAGTGGTCTACAAGTGCTAAGAACCACCAATGATGGTTACAGCTGTTGCTGTTTTAGCACGTTTTCCTTTATATTTAATTTTATATTAATCATGAATTAGTTTAAGTAGTTTATTTTTTACCACAGACACTAAACCAACATCTATTAAAGAGAAAATCTGCAATTGCATTTCAAAATTGCAGCTGTGATGATTCTCCCTGCCTGTAGATGTGACATCAACATGTCCAGTTGGCACTTTTGTGATTTGTTTTGTTTATTTTAATCTTCAACAGGCATTAATTGTACTGGAAGCAGAAACTGTCAGTTCTTTTTTCCAACCTTGCCACATATCTAAAACTCTTGTCGCCTTGTTTCTTTATTTTTTCTTCCTTCAGCACGGTGGCTCTCTGTAAGCTGCTGCAGCACGGCCTCAACACTGACGACAAGCGTCTCCAGGACATCGTGGTGAAGGGAGAAGAGATCTACAGCCCTGAAGACGGCATCCGCACACGCTCCAAATCTGCCAAGAGTAAGGCGGCAAATGGACCCAGAGATGGTTGAATCCGTCCATCTCATTACTATGTCCACGCAGCGACTTCAGGAGCTGTACCACCGGACAGCTCTGTTACTCTTGTGCTCTTCACTGTTCATTTCTCCTCCACAGACCCAGAGAGGTGGACCAACATTCCTTTGCTTGTGAAGCTCTTTAAGTTGATCATCAATGAGCTGTCGACGGTAGTGGAGGCGAACGCCAGCAGGGCGAACGCCGCCGACTGGAGTCAAGGTGAATACGAATGATACAAATGCTTTTAGTTCAAACGACATCAACTGGACATCGGACATTTTTAGCAACCAGCTGTTGTTTTTCTCAGATTCCAGCGGTATGTGGGAGGAAGATGAAGAGGGGGGTGATGACGATGAGGAGGAGGAGGATGAAGGCCTCTCAGGGCAGCTGCTTTCTGATCTCATCTCTTCAAAGAAATACGGTACCAGTATCTCCCCAGTGCCTCAGCGATTCCTGTATTATGTCTTCATGTCCACTTCGTGCTCATGCTGTTGTCGTAGAACATTGTTTCGGGTCACTAAGTTTCCTGGTGTGTTCCCGTCTTACAGATGATGATTATTACGAGGATGACGATGATGACGATGATCAAGATGCCGTGAAAGACCCCATATATCAGATTGATCTGCAGGTACACTAACTCTAATCTGTTAGTTGCAAACGTCTCATTTTCAAAATGTAGCAGCGGGTTAATGAGTCCTTCAGCTGGAGGATCTCCATTGCTCTTAGGGGTGGCTGTTATGATGAAAACCATCTAACACGTAATATTTAATTTCATATTGTGATATCAAAATATATTGTGATTTAGTCCATTTTCTGGAAAATTCATTCAGAAACTGTCTATTGATGGAAATATGGAACTATATGTAAAATCAGTCCTGCTCACTGTGTTCTTACAGCGGCCTCTTACAACAGAGATATTAAAGTGATAGTCACCACAGTATAAACTGTCTGGCAAAATCTGTGATGGTAGATAAATCTATACATTGTCTCTTGGTTTGTGCAAGGATAATAGTCACTACAGGACACAGCTAGTCAGGAGCTGTTTACTTGTACATGCATTGGTTTTGATGTTTATAGATCAGGGGTGTCAAACTCGAGGCCCGTAGGCCAAATCCGGCCCGCCACGTCATTTTATGTGGCCCGCGAATCCGGCAGCAAAACAAAAAAAAAATTTTAATTTAAAAGTTAGACTTGATAATAATGCTCACATTCATACGGGCAATTTCGAGTCTCCAAATAACCTAAGCTGTATGTCTTTGGACTGTGGGAGGAACCCGAAGGGAACCCAGTGTAAACTCCACACAGAAGGACCGCCCGGGATTGCTGTGAGGTGCTAGCCACTACACCACCGTGCAGCCCGCCTAAGGAATAATACAATTGTTAAAATGTCCAAGTATTGATTTTATGTGTAAGAGTTTTCTGTCTGTGTCAAATCCGATCAGATGCTCCAATTATATCGTTGCGGGATTGATGCAGCCGTTTGTTTCCAGGACTCCAGAACCTCTGATGTCCTTATAGTTGACCTGCACTGTATCCCATGTCTTGTCCCAGGCTTACCTGACGGACTTCCTGACGCAGTTCGCCCAGCAGCCATGTTACAGCATGTTCTCAGGCCACCTCACCACCGTGGAGAGACACACCCTGGAGTCTATAGGCCTCTAGCCCCGCCGTCTGCCGCTCCAACACATCTTCTTCCATCTAAACTCTCTCCTGTTGGCTATCAATTATGCGCTCATGATGAATTTACAACCGAGCAAAAGAAAGGGGAGAAATGGGATGATGGCCCTGGTAGAGGAAGGAAAACCGGGTTGAAAGAGATGGACGTGCACTTACCCATAACTCCCCCTGTTTCCACGCTCTCGTGATGGGACAAAGGACTTTGCCGATGTTAAAGTGAGGAGGGTGAAGAGGTGAGAGACTGCCTCGGTCAGTCAGAGGACTCACCGTTTTAGAGTAATTGCAGACCGGACGAGAGGATTGAATAGAAAGGCCGAGGCTCCACAGTGGGACAGGTGAATTATGAACGGACTATTTGGCCATGTTCTATTTGTAACTTAGCCTGTTATTTTTGTGTTTCTGTATAAAGCAAGTTAAATAATACAACGTGGAAAACACTTCCGAGAGACTTTACACTGATTGAAGGAAAGACAGACAGACAGACAGACAGACATCCTGATCTTTGGGGGAAGGAGTGAAACGCTGGCGGCCTTATATTCCAGAAACAACAGTGACCGTTTCTGACAGGAAATTAAAAGCTCTTCGGCCGGCTGTCGTGTCTCGAGGTTCGGTGGGTATGTGAGAAATTCAGTGTTGCCATGGTGACTCCCAGCATTGTTATTTCCTTGTACACCCGTTGAAATTTGCGATGGAAAACATTTCTAAATAAAAGTCCCCGAAAAGGACAACCTTTCCAGATTGATTCCCAGATTCCTCTCTTGTCTCCCCGAGCTGTGAATAATATTACAATATGCAGGTTCTTTTAAACGGAACACATGAAATAACTAAAGAAGAAACTACAACAAACACATACCTGCACTATACACTGAATCACAGTAATATACCCTAAATAAATACATATCCGTAACAGTTTGTACTCTTCAGGTTGAAGTTGGAGTACCTATGCTAAAATAACGTGAGGTCATTAAACGTCATGATACTATTGAGAATAGGCCTTTTACAGAGAACGCACTTTAGGAAAATCAAAGGTGTAAACTATCAATTATTTAGCTGCCTCCATTTCAGGGTTCTTTATTGTGCGTGCTGGCTCCGTCATGACTTAATGGGACACTTGAATACAACAGAGTTCATGTTAACACGCCTGTGTTCTCAAGGTGCATTCAATGCTGCTCGTAAACATGAGTGACTTACGAACTGACAGGCCAGTTAAACTAGTAACCACCTCAGTCGAAATTACAACAAAACAACCATTTCAACATCACACCGAAACCTATTTCTTAATTATATTTGACATAGTTTGGAGTCCCTGAAGTCCTTATAGGTAAATGTCTTTGAATGTCCTTTAAGTGGGTGTACACTGTGTTGGTATATACAAGTATTAAAACAAAGCAAGGAAAATACTAGGATAGAAACCAGATACCATTTACCGTTGGAGTTTGGGGGATACAATAGCAACTCTTTGAGTGCAGAGGTGTGCGTATATGTTTGTATACAGAAAGTTATTGTGGCTGGTGCTGTGTGGGTAAGTTACAGTCCACACTTTGTGGAGGCAGAGGGGAGAGAGTTCTGAATCCTGTATCGAGCTGTTACCCTGGCTGCTGGAGCAGGCTCAGAGGCTCCTGTGGTGTTTTCTCACTGATGGTAGAGACTGAAGAGGCTGTTATAATGTTAAATCTGTAAAGACCTCTGAATTTAAAAGGACGTGTCTGACTCCTATCCTAAAGATCTTACTTTGCCGTGCAGACTGTATATTTAAAACTGTCTCTCAATGTTTAAAAATGTTCTAGAAATGTCTGTGTCTTTAAACAATGCAAAAACAATAGACTATTTATAGAACTATAAAGTAGCAAAACAAAAGTGCAAGTAAATATATATACATATCATTTTCAGATACTTTTACTTTACTTGAGTTTTCAACTTTATTCTTAAACTCCATTACATTTCAGAGGGAAATATTGTACTTTTTTACTCTGAAACTAGTTACGTTTTACATAAGAAATGATATGATATATAATGCAGTACTATAGGAGTATACCACTCCATTTCTAAAATTGGCTCCACATTGATGAACTATAACGTTAAAATGTTGAAAATTCATTAGTGCTAAATACAGAAAAATAGAATATTCTAAAATAACATTTTTGATTAATTAATTATTTTTAATTCAAACTTTTACTTGTGATGGATTATTTTTAGCCTATGATTATTTACTCAAGTTAAAGTAGAAATACCAGAGTAGGCATACTTCTTTTACCAAATGTACTGTGGTCTAATGGGATGAGAATGACTATTGTAACGTTGTTTTTTTCCGACGTTTCAGTCGGTACGTGAAGGCAGCACCCTCCTCGTCCCAGCCGGCGTCACAGCCTCGATGTGTCACTTCTTGGGATACATTATCGCTCGTCTCCTTTGCTGTTCCCGAACCACAATAATGTCTGTGAACGACCGTTAGTCCGGCTATCCTCGCTCATTCACAGCTCTTTAACACATCGCTCGCTCTGTGTAAAATAAGGACGAGGATGGTCTTTCCAGCGGGAAACATGTCTCTCATCGCGCTGCCTTTGGCGCTGCTCACCTTCGTCCTCTGCGTGGCTCCGGGTAAGATTATGGAGCTCCATCCAGGCCGCGCGCTTCGCTAGATAACGGTTTTAACGGTGGATCTCTGCTAACGTCTGTGCAGCCTGCATGGCCGCTATTTCTTTCAGCCGTTACAAGGCGGAGTCGGGCAGTGTCGGCAGCCTCACAGCAGTCAACATCAGCTCATGCTGCTGTCCGACTGTTGTTATTATGATGTCGGTGTTTATTTTTAGGCCCGGATAACTGTTTACTAAACCGTTCACTGTGTAGTTTCCCACCATGTTTATCCTAAGCTATTTGTTTAGCTAACCTGTGTGAACTAACGGTAGTCTGACGGGTTTCTGCATGTTAGGTAACGTTAGCTACGTTATTTTGAGAATTAAAGAATAACGTTAATGTCTTTATTTTCCAACACAGTTTGCCTCCACAATGCTATGTTTATATAATTCAAGCCTTCTGTCAATCTATCAAACTTTATTAGTTTTGCGCTATTTATCGAGGTTATTTCAATTCATAGTGATCTATATTCTGTGTCTGGCAAACTGGTAATAAGTATTAAGTTTAAAACTTAATTAATTAATGCAGATTAATGCAATAAAAGATAAATTATATTATTAATATCATACATATCTAAAGTATTGATATTTTAAGGCACCAAGTTTTCCTAGAAAACATCACTGACATTATGTATAACACGATATTACAATAATACCACATCAATAGTTTTAACTGTCCAACAAGGTAGAAAGCAAACCGTAGTTTTAAGACTAGCTGCATACAGTAGTGTAAACAACCAGACAATACTAACACTACAGGATAATACAATGTGTAATATCTTATATCAAGTGGCAGAATAAGTCTTCTCAATAACAGCTCTCAACGGTCATCATCCTAAATTAGTGTGAACCGTTACAGGAGCAGCTTTATAGAGGCTCAACAATGTACTATTGGATCACTTTAACACAAGAGCAGCTCTCTGATGATAAATATGTTGTTTAATTTACAGTGTTGAGTCAAATCATAACATACTTTATAAACATACCAGCTCAATCTAGGACCCACTTTGTATTTGTTCTCATGAAAGACGGTGTGCCGAATGTTTCTCTGTCAGTATGTGAGACCTCAGAACTGAAACATCACAGAGATGTGTTTTTGTATGTCTTTCTGATGGGTTCTCAAATGTGACAATTTTGCTACTTTGCCTCATATTACATCATAGTAAATGTAATATTGGTCAGACAAAACAAAACAAAAAAATAACTTTTTGGACTGTATTTATTTGTTTGCTTTTCCTTACGTTTTTATCTACCAAACGTTGGTTCATTAAAATGAGATATTAACTAATTGATACTGAGAACAATCCTTAAATCCTAGAATTAATAAATGAACTCCTTTTTTATTTCAGACATGCAGGTCCTTTAAATCCTAGGTACCTTACTTGAGCCCTAATCAGTTTTCCTCCTCTGCCACAGTGAGCGGTTACATAATGCATTGTGACTGTAAGTGAACAATCAAGAAGAATCATGAAACAGAAACAGCCTGTCGGTTAAACTGAGAGATTGTAAGCAGGAAAATACATTTTGTTAGAGGAAAACCTAAAGTTTGACCTGCTGCTTCATGCTTTCATTTTGATCATCTTCCCCGTAGAGTCATCCCGCCTCACACTCTGTATTGTGTCTGTTCTGCAGTCGGTGCGAACGAGGACTGTCTGTGGTACGTGGATAAAAACGGCACCTGGCACAACGGCTTCGACTGCCCTCTCATCACGTTCTGCTGCGGGAACTGTCACCGGCGCTACTGCTGCCTGGACGCCTTCAAGATGATCACCGAGAGGGAGCAGAAACGCTGCATGCTCTTCCAGTTCAGGTGGGGGAAACGGCAGCAGGGCTTTGATTTAATAACTTATTTATGAATTAATTTGACACCAAGTTTGTGTTCACGATTCAAGGTTATCGCTGCAGGATCACATTTCCTTCGTTTTCTGAAGGCAGACAGATTCTTTAAAACCCTGCTAGGGGAAATGTGTGGCCAGTCCGCACAATGAGATGCGTCCTTAAACATCTATGAACATAAATCCATCGGTACAAAGTACACTTTATGCACATTATACTTTCATGTAGTTATGTTGTGTGTATAATGTACCTACTGTGTTTATGTGAGGCTCTGTAAGGACTGTGGCAACACATTTCTTTGGAAAAGGACAATAAAGAATGTGTCTCTATACTGACAAATTATACAGTGAAAACAATGCTACAAAGCAAGAGGCATTAAGTTACATCATTGTAATTGATTGTATGCAAATTAAGGCCTATTTATGTGCAATAAGGACGTTTCACTAGCTCTGAAACTAATCTGGAGATAATCTTGTTTCAGCTGCCTTTCTCTTTGTTACATAACTGTAAATTACATATCCCTGGGTTTTGGACTGTTGGTCAGACAGAAACAGAAATTTGAATTATTTATTATTATATTATCTGGAACCTTTTATTTAACCAGGTAAGTCTCAGTGAGGGAGCCCTGGCAAAGACGGCAGCAAAAGGGTGTTTCAAAGGAGAAACTAACAGTGTTTCAGATAAAATGCCCGCAAATATTTGAATCGTAACCCAGTGCTCTGGGAAAGTAGGGAGCCATTTTTCAACTACTTCTGGCGTTGGACAGAGTAAAAGATAAATTAGGAAAATGACAAAGATTAATCGCTAATGAAAATGATGGTTAGTTTCAGCCATACATTCTACTAGAGGCACATGATTAAAGCAACAGCCTCATGCATTCATGTAAAATATAGGAAAAGTGAAATGCGTAACATATTGCTAAACATAGAATATTGTGGAGCTTTTAACTCGTAGACTGTATGAGAAGTGGACGTAGTCACCGTGACGTCACCCGTTGGTTCATGACTGCCATTTTGAAGCCTCGAGTTTGGCATTTGGGTCGTCGCCATCTTGGCTTTTTGCAACCGGAAGTGACACGAGAGGGTGGAGTTAACTACAACCCAGCATTGATGAATTCAGTTTTAGGTGATCAAAAAGGTCACAGTTATCTATGAACTGCAAACACGCAGTGAAAGGGTTAAAGTTCTAAGACGGACAACTCCCAGACCGGACAGCGGCATGCTAGCAACCTGTCAATCACAAGGTAGCCCCGCCCTAAAGCACACCCTGCTTTATCATCTAATTTACTCTAAATAGGATTATGATTTACTAATTGAACATGATGGTGTATTGAAGGTAGTAACTCAAGTATCGTAGTAGTTAAGGATCAAGTAAGGACTTGAATAGATTATTGGTATGGAAAAGAACCCTCCAAAAACTGTACACTGTGGGCATATACTATGTATCGTAAAACATTTAAATATAATGCAGTAGATGCACCATACATTAACAGTAATATTGAGAAACAAATAACCATAGACACAGTAAAGAGACATGGAATTTGCTCAAAAACATAATGCAAAAGTTCTACTTGAAGTAATGGAATGTAGTGATGGGTGAAGTGTGTGGACAGACAGCAGTGTCAATAATTGTATACGTCAACAATAAACATTTGCATCACATCTGGGGTGAATGTCTTTGGTGTACAAGGGGATGTAAGTGAGAAGAAATATTGACATTGTATAAAAATCCATAGAAAACATGGTCCACCATCACCTGTGAAACATCTTCCATTCTTAAACTGGCCTGCTCTCATGTCCCACCGGACGAATGTGACCTGATGAGCTTGCTTTGGTCCTCACGGTGTAATACGTTCTCATTAGTGGTTCTATCACATCAGCTGTCCCTGTGAGGGATCGTGATAATGCCGGACTAAGCAAGCTTGTATCTGAGAGTGAAACATGGTACTTTCCCTCCATAACACTGGAAACCATCCGTCTCTGTCCAGCAGCAAGCAGACAACCTGCAGCTTATTAAGACCGGTGGGAGATCAGATCAGTGGGCGGCAGGGGGGGCTGAGCTGAAACGGAGGGCTTTGTTGCTTCAGTGAGACTATGAGGTGATGGAATCTGACGAGAAAGATGCAACGTGTACGTCATAAACTTTGATGTTTCGGTGTTGGTCTGCGGTAAAAGATTGTGTCTGCATCAAAAGCTCCACATCACAGCCGTCCCGTCTTTAATCCTCGTAGTGTAATTAGTGAGATAGGGGGTGGGGGGGGCGTGAGGCTGGGTGATCAAAGCGAGCAAGGAAACGCTTTGTAACTTAGGCCCTTCCTCTGTCTCTCCTCTCAGCCCCACCACTTTGGCTGGCATCGCCTCCTCCATCCTCCTGTTTGTGGCGATCATTGCGACCATGGTCTGCTGCTTCATGTGCTCCTGCTGTTACCTCTACCAGAGAAGGCAGCAGAGGGGCCGGACACCGTATGATGGTGAGACCTCTTCTCTTTACGTCCGTTCTTGTGCCGACAACCGTGAGCTTCTAGTTTCCTTCACAGCAGTCTGTACTTCTTGGCCCACAGTCCAGCAGATCCCCATGGCCAGTTACCCAGTGGAGCCCATGTATGACGCTTATGGAAAACCACTGGGACCGTCTGAGTACCTGCATGCGGGTTATCCATATGCAGGTTATCCAATGGCGCCCCACTACCCTGGCATGCCTCCCCACTACCCGATGATGCAGCCGGGACATTACCCACCACACCTGATGGATCCCGTATACAGCCAGGGTAAGAGGAGCACTAGCTATTATGTCCATCTTTAACAAAAACTAGACAACCTGCTGATATTCTGTGCTGTTACCTACTTTTGGGAACGTCAAGGGGCTCTATTCATGTAATATGTCCCATTACAAGGAGAACGTTTACAAGCAACGACAGAGAATGTTAGATGTTGGGGGGTTTTTTTAGGTCTTTTAATCGAGTTGGACAGATTTCCTTCAAATCTATTGAGGCTGTTTGGGTGACCCCCTGATCCTTCTTGTAGCACCAACACAATTCATTTATTCATGTTCCCCAGAGGTTGAGCTCTCTCTATTTTGGACAGTGCCCTCTGGCAACAGCAACAGTTGGAAAGGTCAACTTTGATGGGTGATATGTGATATGTGATGCTGCCGAGGGCAGAAACCCTTTTTAATTCTAATGAGTCCATGTTCTCTCCACTACTGCCATCACTAATTTTACATTTGAGGCTCCAGGGATGGCAGCGTTAGTCACCACTTTAGGCAAGTTTATTTATGTAGCACACACGAGGTCATTCAAGGTGCTTTACAAGAAGAAAAGAAAGAAAGATAGAAGTATCAGATAAATAAAAGTAAATGCAAGTTTGAAACCAAATGAATAGTATAAACCCCATCAAATGGATTAATTAACTGCTGACATATCTGTGATGGATACACAGTCACCACTTTAGTCCATATCTCAACAACTATTTGTAATATTTTTAAAAAGATAGATTTAGTCATTCTTTTGTAAACAGGTCTTAATGCAGTCCTGGTGATATATGAAGTTGTGACTTTATTTTATGTTTGTACCCTTTTATTTTTCAGCCCCTCCACCTTACTCTCCACCTCAGTATCCTGGCCATTGATGGGCTCGTCTACATACACGCGCACACACACACACACACACACACACACACACGCACACACACACAGTGGGAAACAACAGCAGCTGAGAGAAAGGACTGTATGAAAAGGTGAAGGCAGCGACACTCTCGCACTCAAACACGCACACACACTCAAATAAACGCTGCAGCTCGACTAGCAGGAGGCACTTTAAGGTTGATTTTTTTTCTATGTCTATTTACACGGTTGTCCTACTTTTCTGGCGTATTTACGTAAGTCAAATTCTGTTCCGCAAACTGACGCCCGATGGCTCCCGGCGGGTTTTGTGCAGAGGCCGTCGCTCCATCCCCAAAGTGAGGAAGTATCTGTCTCGACTCTGTGCTGCCACTTGTGCCCTGACACACTCGCCTCAATGACGGGGTCACTACCTAAGAGGGGTCAGAGGGCATTGACACAAAATGATAATGCATTTATTAAAGGGGGAAATGCTTTACTTCCTCACTTTTGTTAAATTTGAATAAATTGAGAACTGCCCAAGGCTACATTCCAGGTCACACACTCTAGCTAGGATTCCATGATGTCTTTATTTTTGTATTTAATGTTTTTTTTCGTCATGTGGTCGAGACTAAAGTGAAAAACCAACTGCATGTTTAAATAAGGTGACGTCTATGTCTCAAAGGCAGTGCGGTACGGTGATACATTTGCAGATGGCCTAAAGGATTTATGGTACTCCTAATTTTGTGTAAGAAGCTTTTAGTCGTCCGTAAGTTTCAACTTTGTCTTTCCTTTTTTTTGTATCTGGCGGGACTAATTTATTCATGAGAGTTTATTAGCTGCACCGTTCTAATGTGTGGTCTAGACATCAGCATGCTACCCCAGTCCAAGGTATCTGTCCTCATGCTTCTTTTCTGGTTTTACATGAAATCTTTAGATTAATCACATAATGGCAGGTATAGGACGTTTTCCAGTGAAAGTCATGTTCAGTGTTTATTTCTTGGAACATATCAGGTCAGGGGAGTTGCAGGTTGTGCTGTTGGGTTAAAACAAAGTGTCCCGCCTTACAATAATTCACCATGATGGAGAAAAGGAAAAGAGATTAACTATTTAAATACTTGTTTTGTAAATCTGTTCTTCAGCTGAATAGTTTATGATATTGTAACAAGTTATTTTCAAAATAATGTATTGTTATTGTAACATAAGATATGATGTTTTAGCATTTTTGTCATCTTTCCATTTGGTATTTATTATTATTATTATTATTATTATTATTATTATTATTGAGGTTACCTTTTACTGTGAATGGGTTCTCACCTTGTGGACTAGCTACAAAGCCAAAAAACACTACTGTTGAAAAAGTAGATTTATTCTTTAAAGTCATCCTTTGACATTTTGGGAAATATATGTCCTATCTTACTGAGAGTCACACGAGTAGATCGATACCAATCTCAGAGACGTGAGTGTATCAATCTTCTCGTCTGACGTTGCTGGAAAAGAAAGCAGAGCGCTGTGTTTCCCAAAATGTTCAACTGTTTCTTCAAAGTTACACTTACAGATTTGGGCTCCGGTGAGGTCAGGGCCTGTAAGCTGTAATTATTCTGGCCCTGTGCCCTTTGTAAGACGTATGAACTGTAAAACATGACGTCTCAAGCATGTTATGAGCAGTTCGCTGTCTGACTACTAACAGGTGATGATTATCTTTATTCGGGTGTAATGTATCTCTACATTAATAACAAAACACTTGTCTTGCTGATTGATCAGAGAAGCCTGGGCTTTTCCTTGAGACTTACTGCTGTATTTTGTCTCTAAAATAAGAACTATTACAGCGAGTTTACAGCATAAATTGTTTCCTCCGATGGCGACGTCCATTTGTACAGATTTGTTGAGCCTTTGTAAAGCACACAGAGAACACTGGACTTTTCTTTGTGAGATGCTTTCATATGTAGTTTGACGTAACATTTGCTGAATGATGTTTCTGTTTATTTGTTGTTCTAAACCAACTCCATGAGTGTGTTTACTGGAACTGACATCAGTTGGCAAAATACCTGTCTGTTGTCATATGGATGGTATGACATTGTAATATAAAGTGAGTGAAAAAGGGTTTTATTTCTATTAACATAAAATTTAACTTTGGAATGTAAAAAAACTGTCTCCTGTGTCTTTTTGTTTTCAAGAAATCTAATCATAACACATTTATATAAGGTGGAGTTAGTATGTGTCCACATCCTTTTGACCACTAGATGTCCATAACAACCTCCGAACAATTATAAATATGTTCATCTTTGGCAGAAGTGATTCATTCAGTGTCATCACAATCCAAATGAAATTTGTGCCCCTAAAACACTGATTGTCCTTTGCATATTTTTATAGTTTGCCATACAGCTTTAATGTACATTTGACAAATTTTATCTTTTGAAAAATTACACAGCCCACCTACACACCAGGCCAATATACATTTTAATATTTTAATACATTTTGTATCTGTTTCAAAAAATTTTATTCTGATTTTACCCATGCTTAAATATTTTGTTTTAATGATTAATATGTTTTATTTTTAATTTATTTTGTTTTGTCCTTCTCAAATCATCTTAACTTTCTGTAATTTTAAACAACTTTTGAATGTTTTCAAGTAGTAATGTGTTTTTAACACACTTGGGATTTGTTCTGTTTGAAAATCTATGAATTGCGGTGCCTTTGTTGTAATAATAATTAGTGTAATACTCTGCACCAGCCTTTTAGTACAGCCTCAGGACACCCTGTATTTCACTGCATATATTTAAAGACCATGTGAATCTAACACATAATTCATCTGTTTGTCCCTAACTCATTGGCCTGCTGGTGTTATATTGAGCTCCTGTGAAAACAAAACTATTTTTAACTCGAACTGTTTCTCCCAAAATGTTAGGAATGCGTTGATTCAAGACTCTCTGGAAAAAGTCCCGAACAGAAACACTGATGTTCTCACGGTGGCAAAAAACCAAATGTGAAACTCTTAACTAGTTAAAATCAGATTAATTTCTAAACAAAAAAAATTGGAACTGGTCTCAATATAAACAAACTGTGTAATAGGAAGTCTGTGTAACTCTGCTCCGGCATCTCTGTAAACTTCAGCCCTTCCCATTACCTTTAAAGGAGTGTGTACCCTGAACTAAATATGGACATGCACTTTAACAGGATTTCAAAGAATGTCCCAGCCTCACAGTCCACTTTGATGATGCGAGGCTCTTGCAGTTCATCACTGGTACCCCTCACTGCAAGACCGAGAGTCCAGCCTCTTTGCACCCGGATTGATGCCTCTGGTGGCTTTTTGGCGAGCAGGACGCCAGCTCTGACCGATGGGAATACCTCTCAACATCGGAGAGAGATTACCCAATAATCAGATTTGAAATAAAGGGATTTACTGTACTACACATCAACAGCACCTCCAAACAAACCAAATTTCTCTACAGCCTTTACCCCAGATTTTTTTTTTTCGCAACCATGTCCAGGAGAAAGGTGAGAGGCCTGACCTGTACGGGCCGTCAGGTCAGCGAAGACCCGGACCTGGACAACCTGCTGTCCACTCTCTCCCCCGAGGAGATGGAGGAGCTGGAGAAGGACATGATGAAAGTGCCGGACATCAAGCCGGAGGACGGGAACATCATCGTCCAAGGGGAGAGCCAAGCTGCGCAGCCACCGACGAGCAACAATGTCCGGGACGCTAAGCTGGACAGCAGGCGCGAGAGTGACCGTAAAGGGAGGCTCAGTGAGAGGGAACCGTCATTTGAGGTTTGTGAATGCTTAAAGACCCATTACTCTTTTAAGATGTTTGTGTTTGAGCAGTTTTTAATCACAACTACCCGCTAAGTTACATGAGTTTATGAAATCGAACAACAATGTATACCCTTATGATTGATAGATTACAGCATTATGGAACATCCACTGTCCCTGAGGAACTCTAATGATAGCTCTCGTGTACTATGTTTAATTTTGTCTGAAGCAAAGCGCCAACTGGACCCCATCAGTCCATCAGCTCATAAATAGTTGAGAGTTGGCTTCTGTTCCTCTCTGATTCTTGCTTACATGTAGTTCTACATTCTTAATCATCTTCTCACAAGAGGAGAACCAGCATCAGAAACACAGTGAAGTGTTTCTTTTATTCCTATGACGTGCTATAAAAGAGCACTGCTTAGCGCCAGGTTTCTTGCAGTTTGTGTGTTTAAAGGAGAGGCACTTCAGTCGCTGGAGCGGAGGCCCTGCGGAGCTTCTTAATCCCGGCCTGATGGAATTCCTTGGTTGATTGCTCCTACACTCACTGCCTTTTAAGGATACATCTGCCAGAGCCACGGCCTCAGACAGCAAAACAGATGGAGACTCACAAATCAAACACTTTGCAAGCTACTCGCAGCGAATGTATCCCTGCGCTATAAAAAAAAATGGCTCCTTGCCCTTTTGCTGACTGTCAACACACCATCCCATATTGTGTCAGGGAGAGTGTGTGTTTACAGTGAGCAGATGGACGAGGAGCTGTTTGACAGTAAAGTGATACAGTATTTGTATGGGTATTAGGTGTTACATCATACTATACATGCCATGCAATATATACCGTATGTCTGTTAGAACAAGTTCTGTACTATATAGCCAATAGATTATTTGACTTATGACACAGATGTCTTGACAACCTGTGATATATTTTGGTCTACATTCTTTGTCACACTCCATTTTGGATCTACTGTTTGATTTTGATAGTTGCATCTACCTAAGAGAGCTTTACTTTGGGAGATAACACTGCTCATACTCCTCATATTCGTCCTCCTGCAGGGTGAGACAAAGAAGGAGAGCCGGAAGCAGGAATATCTGAGGAAAATGGGCTTGAGCCAGGAGGGGGACGACGACGTGACAGAAGGGCTACAAAGACAAACTAGTGTCTCAAGTGAAAAAGATACTAAGGTCGACAACAGAAACAGCAAAGGTACTGAAAGTTTGAGAGAGGAGCGAAGTCGGCTTTCGAGTAGACACTGGAAGCAAGAAAGCAGAGAGGGTGACGTGAAAGAGGAGACCAAAGAGAAACACGAGGACAACAAGATAAGAGACAGAAGAGAAAACAGAGAGAGCACAGGTAGCAAAACAAAGGACATGATCTCGAAGTTGCAGGAAAAAAAGGACGACGGCAAAGAGAGGAAAGAAGACTGCAGGAGAAGAGATGAGAGCAAAACCAAAGACATCATCTCGAAGCTACGAGAAAAGCATGAGAAGGATACGGGCAAGGAAAGAGAGAGGAAATCGGAGAGTTTCAGGACACAAGGGCGTGTCTCTCAAATGTTGGAAAAGCAGAGCAAAGCACAAGAAAGCCCGACCCCGCCAAGTAAAGCAGAAGAGAAGAAGCCTAAAGAGGAGGAGAAAAAAGCTGAAGATAAAAACAAGCCTGATGCCAAACTTGAGCGACAGCCATCAGAGAGGGGTGAAGTGCAGGTGAAACATGACAAGGCAGAGAAAAGAACAGATAGAGAGGAGCTGGTTAACCACAGTGACCACGTGAAAGAGAAGGAGAAGAAGACAAGCACGGAGAAGAAAGTAGAGGAGAAAAAGGAAAACGAGGGGAGTGATGGAAAAGGAACTGAGAAACTTGGCAACTGTGTGGCCGTAAACAGCCCAAACAGCAAGGCGAAGGAGGAAGAGGAGGAGGAGGAAGACTCCAGCATGTTCGATGAGCTGATGGAGCAGGTTCACAGCAATGACCCCTCCCTGACTGAGCTCAACGTCAACAACTCAGAGGTCATCAAGACGAAAACACTCATGGAGTTCGCAGAGGCTTTGCACAAGAACACCCACGTGAAGAAGTTTGCTTTGGCCAACTGCCGCGCGGACGACCACGTGGCTTATGCCATCGCAGGCACGCTACGCAGCAACAACACCATCACCAGCATCAACGTGGACTCCAACCATCTCACCGGCAAGGGCATCCTGTCTCTGATCCAGGCGTTGCCACACAACTCCACGCTGACCGAGCTTCGCTTTCAAAACCAGCGTCACATCTGCGGCGGGAAGACCGAGATGGAGATGACCAAGATCCTGAAGGAGAACACCACCTTGGTCAAACTGGGCTACCACTTTGAGTTAGCTGGACCCAGGATGACCACGACAAACATACTGAGTCGCAACATGGACCGGCAGAGGCAGAAGCGCCTGCAGGAGCAGAAGCAGGCCCAGGCCAACGGGGAGAAGAAGGGGACACTGGAGGTACCCAAGGCGGGTGGTGGGGGATCTCTGAGAAACTCGCCCAGAGCTTCGCCCAAACCTTCTCCCATACCGTCACCTGTGCCATCGCCAAAGCTGACTCCTAAAAGAAGAGCTGGAGGTCCGGCTCCACCACCACCACCTCCGCCTCCTCCCGGGTGTGGACCTCCCCCTCCTCCACCTCCCATGCTGGATGTAGACGCCCTGAGGAACTCTCTGACCCCGGTGTCGCAGAGGAAACTGGATGGAAGAAGCCCGGGCGGAGGTAAGAACTCAAGGGACCAACTGCTCGCCTCGATCAGAGGACGCGATAAGCAACAACTCAAGAAGGTATGTAAGATGGGTTTATGGATAGGTTTGCGCCACCGCAATATATCCTCACAGACTTACATTTTATTTTTCCCACAGGTGCCGGTGCCAAAGTGGTTGCAGTAATATTTCCTGTTGGAATATGAAGTGGAAAAAAAGAAGAGAGAGGGAGAACAGACATTTCACCACAGGTTTTTTTTATGAAGATAATCTCTACATTCCCCGGATGCAGTGGAAGAACTGTGCTGCGGGACGGATGGAGAAAGTGAAACATGAGATGCCCGATCGATTGGATGACCAGCCCTCACAATGAGTTCTCCCCTCAAACACTGGACCAAAAGGACTCTGTGGAGAAGGAGTGATGCAGGGCTCTCTATTAACCGACTGCAAAGAATGCCATGAGTGTTGTGGTTGTTGTTGTCTTCCGTACATATTGACGCTTTGCTGGTTATTTGCACTAGATAATATGAAGCTGGGAGTTTGCGATGAGCTTATTGATAAGAGATTCAAATAACTCTTTATAAAATTCTAATATACAAAAAGTTTATCGGCGATATAGTGGACTTTAATTTGACCATTTATTTATTTGTGGAGAGAGAATCCACCTCATATTTGTAAGTTGTACATCTGTTCAAACTGGGAATTCTGAAATGGCGTAAATATCAGGGAATTAACAAACATGGCGGCCTGACTTAAGAAAATCTGGGTAAGAAAAAAGAAAAAGGTCACGGTGGTCTTTAATTGTGTGTCTCATTGCCAAATCTCATGACATCTCAGGCAGGATTTAATGGATTGGAACGCAGCCCAGTGGAATCCTGGTGCATGATGAAAGAGTTTTAGCATGGAAATAATTACATAATGCATTTTTATCAGGAAGTGCAAATGGCTGTCCTTCAGTATCTGATGTTATAATTTGTACAGAATCATTGTAGCGTTGGGGTTTGAATGCTTAACGTCTTAACCTTAGGGGGATATGTAAAAGCATTACTGGCTTATCTCAACCCTCCTGTTGATTTATGCCTTTATGTACTTTTCAGTGAATGTCATTTTCAAAGGAATTTATTGATAATCATAAATCAGAGGGGCACTCACATGTGCGCTGTGTAATGAAAGATTCTCTGTCATATCTGATTACACATGCCTTTCTTACAGAGCCTGTATGTCTTCAATAAAAGATTCCGGTATTTGTTTGGTTTGCAATGAAAAGTCACAAGTGTAATGTTACGCCTAGCTGATACCATTACGGAGAATATGAACAGTATGTGTAAAGTTAAATGCAACTGACATGTATAATATATTCCAGTATTAGAAATCAAAGTATGAATGTATTAATATATATACAAAATATACTGTATACCTAATGGGCTGTCATTCATTACAGTTGGTTTATAGGCTCTATAAAATCATTCACTCTTAATAATATACTCAAGTATTTCTATTTTCACTGTCACTTTAGGTCAAGCCGTTGTAGAAAGATATGCACAGTATATACAGAGTCAGATATGTATCATAGTCAACAACTAACCTGCAGCATAAATCATTTAAAGGACTCCTATAATGCTGCATTTGAATCCTGACTACTGAGTTACTTGAGTTAATTTGAAGAACCTCTCCATCATTATACACATGCCTGTGCTTCTGCAACCAGAAAACAAGAACATTTCTTCACATTTCACTTCACACTACACGTTTAAAGCTGCAGAGAAACAGCAGGAGCTGTGTAGTGTCCACCCTCCAGCTGGCGAGGCAGCCATCAACCTGAGAACAGCAGCCCAGTTTATGTCTCCATATCCCTGCCTCAGCCTCTGCATCCATGAAATGCCTATATTTGGGCATTTCTCAAAGAAAGCTTGCTCTGCAATTCATTCCTTTCTCGTTCCTAACAATGGGCTGCAGGCCAGCGGTCTGTCTCTCGGCTGTAGCTGCTCCTCTGACCAACAGCACTGAGCTTAGACGGAGGAAAACGTGGGGAAGGAATGAAAATGTTGAGATTATCGATGTTCAGCTCCAGCAAAGGCGATCTAAGGAGAACCTGGTGATCATTTGTATGCAGAAAGTAGCTCAGTGAACACTCTTTTTTATTTCTGTGTGTTTATATCAGGTTAACTGTAGTTTAGTCTTTAAGGTTGACTGTTTTTAAGGGTCCTTCGTCACTGTAGTATGGCTGAATAACCCACTAGGAGGCCCCAGGGCAAAAATGAGCTGGTAGTCCCCTATTGACCCCCCTTTCCTGGAATAAAGCAAACAAATGAATCTGCACCATGTAAGCACAGTATCAGCTAATATAATAAAAGTCTTAAAAAAAAAATGTTGATATAAGAACCAAAATCAGGTGATAAAACAGGATGCAACTATGGCGCCATATTTTGTTCTCAAAAGTAACGACAAAGTGTTTTGGATTTACGACCTTGCTTTCGACAGGCCTCTTCTCCATGCCAATGGTGGCCAAGGCTCATGGGTATTGTAGTATTTAGACCCGTCCGCCATGCCAAAATTATTGACAAAAAAATGATCTCTCAGAAACTAAACTACAATAATATGTGTGATGCTGTTGCTTCTGTTGACAATATGTATAACGAGTCATCTCTGCAGTACCACAGATACCTGGCATACTTCTCCATGGGCCACCCGTTTATCACAAATGAATGAACACTTTGGAAATCTAATCCTGAAAACGTGTTTTCTTTAGAGTTCTATAACTTTAAATACTATGTACTGTCATATCTGTCTATACTTTATCCCCCCCTCCATTGCCTCCAATCCTAAAGCTTTCAAATTCTGATTGTAATCGTGCTTGCTTACTTAATACATCTATAATAAAAGGATACACTTTATAATGACTTGTTTAGCTGTATGGCTGCAAAGCGTACCTCCTTCTCCCCAATACTGGGCGTTTGGTTACTTTGGTATTGGACTCCCAGGGTCAACCACTGACGTTAATAAATAAACAACTGCTGGTGAGTAGTGTTCGGGTTAGATGTTTTCAGGGGAGACCCAGACCGCTGGACTTTCCAGTCGCACCAAAAATGAACTGGATCCGGTTAACAATCAAAAAGTATTTAATAAACAAGAGAAGCTAGAACAGTTGCAAACTGAATTACTCTATCGATATCAATATGTCCCCAGGGCAGAGTTCTCACAAGGCCCACTAAATAGCCCAGCCCAGCTGGTAAACTACCCAGAGTGGTAACTGCGCAAACTCTGGCAAAAACCCTCTGGAACTAAGCCTATATTTAAAAGTCTCTGTCCGAAAGTTTAAATGTCCAGTATCAGCCTCTGTGATTGGCTGAAATTCAATAGCCCCTCCTGCCTTGGGGCAGTTATCATCTCAGTGTTTGGTTGAAGTCGTCCGGACTCCTCCTCAGGTCCTGGTGGTCAGTTGTCCACCCCTCTGTTCTCTGCTGCACCTCTGTAAAGACTCACTCAAAATGATCTCTTTCTGACCCTCAAAACTATTCATACAGTGTTTTAATACCTTTAGTGACTATACTTCTATGGTTTAATACATTCAATGAGTAAAATACTGTAACATAATATCCTCTACAAGTAAGAATATTGTAACCATAATACATTCCATAAGTAAATATATTGTGACTTTTTAACCTATTTTGACATTATTATTATTGTGACACTTCTACTCACCACTTGGGGTGTTATTTAATCCTACTAATAATGCCTTTAATACTGAAATCCTTAACAGTAGGCCACAGGGTCCCACAGAATTTTAATTTTCTAATGCTAAATAAAAGTCAGGAAAACAGAGCAACAATTTAAAATGTTGACTTTCCTTACCAGATAATAAGATGTTCCCACAATGTTATATCTCCCTCTAGCTCATGAAACACTCCTTTAAGGCATCACGTTGTGTTGTTACGTCAGCTTGCCGATAAGCGTCACGTCAGAGGGAACAGCAAAAGAACAAGATGGAGGAGTATGCCAGAGAACCATGGTGAGTCTTAAAACCAGATAAAATGGCATTTTTACCGTCTGCTTTACCGAGTCCTCTATGTGAGGTAACTACCACTTCTAGTGTTTGTACTTATTTCTATGTTACAACATGTGGTATGACACGAAACGTCTCTAATCCGGCTGGCTACCCGTCGTTAGCACAAATGCTAACTTTACATAGAGATGCATTGGCGGTGTGTGCTAGCATCAGACCGTCGTTGCTCTATCACGTTGTTGGTGACCTTGTCGGTTTGCTCGCTCACGTGTCATTACATTTAGTTAACGGACTCTGGTCACTGCGTGTACAAAGTGTTATATGATTTACAGTGAACAGCAAGCCCCGCTGTGACAATTTCATCAGTGCAGTGTTTCAGTTAAGGAAGTCGCTTTAGCATGTTGCTAAGCTAGCATAGTTAGCTACCTGTGTGCTATCATTATCTGCCGGTGGCAGCCTGGGATTGCGCAACAGCTGCTGAAGGGTGCTCGGAGACTTGTCCAATTTATCTTGAAACGCAGGAACTGAGCTTAATTGTATCGAGGTGGATGTCTTTATGTTGCCAGTGTTAAGCAGTAGTGACAGGTTTATACCCACGGTCTGGTACCAAACAGGTCCAGGACCTGTATTACGTTTAATTATCTCCAGACCAGGTGGTACATAGTGTAATAACCAGGTAATAAAGACTTTCTAGAAATGATTGTTTTGCACTGCTTTTATTTAGCATTTAGTAGCTTTAAAATAAATGAAAATGAACTAGTTTCTATTCACTTTCACCAGTTCTGCTTAAGTAGAGATGCCCTTAATCTAAGTAAACAGTGAAGACAGATATTTAAGTAGTGATAGAGATTTACAGAATATATTTTATTTAATGGATTTATAATGAGATGTTTTTTTTTGACATGCAGTGTTTATGTAATGTGATATAATTGTGTTTTTAAAAATGTCATTGTCCAAATGAAACACTAAGTAAACTTTTAAGATAAGCTTTATTTTATTTCCATATTATCAATATTTAGCAAGTGCTTGTTCCTCTCCCTCAACTTCCAATCCATACTCAGGAGGCATATAAAGATTGAACCTGCAATCAGAGATCTATGACATCATGATAATGGCCCATATAAATGCATCTTTGTACTGTGCATGACGATGACCTTTGCTAATGGCTGTCTTACGCTTTCAGCCCCTGGAGGATCGTGGACGATTGTGGGGGAGCCTTCACCATGGGAGCTATTGGAGGAGGAATATTTCAGGCAGTCAAAGGCTTCAGAAATTCACCCTCAGTAAGTTCACTCATGCAACTTAACACTTTTCTTTGCTGTGTTGTCTCAATCAAATGCAACAATTATGACTTCCTTATACAGATCATACTACATACAGCGTTAGAGATAGTTTGTTTTAGCAGTGTTACTGTATGATAACATTTACATGATTTTAACAGATAAAAAAACACAACATTGCAACTTGCATTTTCCGGGTCTTCAATTGTCATATTCTGCATTTTTGTCTTTCATCGAAAATGCAGGGATCTTGAATTGTCAATGAATTTCCATTGATGTGTTTTGTGTTGCTCTCTGTTGTAGGGTATGAACCACAGAATGAAAGGTAGCATGACTGCCATCAAGACCAGAGCCCCACAACTTGGAGGTGAGGATGACTGCTGAATTTAAATAGTATCTGCCTGAAAGTGAAAAGAACAAGGGCTGTTGTCAATTTAATGTCATGTTGATGTTCTGTTTAAGTCTACAGTTGTTCGCCTAACTTGTTTCTGATTGAACTGAAGTGAATCTTTTTTGGGTTGCAGGAAGCTTCGCAGTATGGGGAGGCCTCTTCTCCATGATTGACTGTGGTTTAGTAAAAGTACGAGGGAAGGAGGATCCCTGGAACTCAATCACGAGTGGGGCCATGACGGGAGCTATCCTTGCTGCAAGAAGTGAGTAAGCTTAGAAGAAGCTGGCAGCCATAAGTTGAACAGATAGCACATGCATGCAAAAGGCAAACAGTGATGTGAGAGTGTGCAAAGAAATATCTGTAAGAGTATTCAATGTTTGGCTACCATTAAGGAAAGAGTGGATATGTGTTTGCTTTAGGGTTTGGCGATATGTTACAAAAATGTCCAACCAGCCACCGTTGGCCACATCCGTCAAACACAAATACGGCTAACGTTAACTATAGGCTGGCACTACACGTGGAGATTATAAGATCAGTGTTAGTTTGTCCCAGAGTCTTGCCCTGATGTTAGTTATTAGTTGGCTTTTTTTTAATTTTTTTTTATAACTATTAATTCATCATTATTGGACCCAGAAGTAGAGAAGAAATGCTGACTCTATTTCTTGGGAGCTCGGGGATTACACATTGGTTTGATAGATTACCGTTTCCTGTTCCTCTGCAGATGGACCGGTAGCCATGGTAGGGTCTGCAGCTATGGGAGGGATCCTGCTGGCGTTGATAGAGGGCGCTGGGATCTTGCTTACTAGATTTGCCTCTTCACAGTTCCCAACTGGTGAGTAATACTTGTGGAATTGAACGTTTGGTTCATTGAATAATTTATGGCGTAAAGGATATCGCACAGACAGAGAACACAGTTTGATGATTTTGTGTGTGTGTGTATGTATATGTATATGTGTATGTATATGTGTGTATATGTATATATAAAACGTTTTATCACAATTCCAAATTCACAGAACATCTTGTTATCAGGAAAAACACAAAAGTTTTCCACCTGACAACGATGATGGTCCTTTTTGTTACGCAACACATTTGGACAGGTCACAGCAGGAAGAGCACAGGTGTAATCAATCACAATCACAATGGTTTCTATTTGTGACACACAGCGGAGCCCTCGTTAGTGTTATTAGTTGCAGCTGCGCTTTTCCTAACAATGTCTGCTGTGAAAATGGTTTGATTCTAATGTGTCCAACCTCTGTACTACATATAAATAATATGAAGTATTTATTGTATACTTATTAGAATAGGATATTGCTTTTGCAGTTGGTATACAAAAGTCTGTGTTTACCGGGTGCTCTTCTGAAGATTAAAAATCATTTTTTTGTTGTCTGATCTTTTATTTACACCACCACCACCTACTGTAACTATACTCTATTTTCTGATTGGTGTTATGCAGTAATTGATTACTCCATTAACTGTGAAAGCAATTTTTAGATTAATTGATAATACATAATAATGAGCTGCTGTGCTGCACAACATACTAAAATCTGCGTGGAATAAGTATGTCGTGTGGAATTTGGGCCCAGCTCAGATGTTGATGTAGTTGTATTTAAGGATATTTGCCCTCTTAATTAACTGTTTACCTTTTCTGTCTCTCAGGGCCCCAGTTTGCTGAGGAGCCGGCCCCGGCCCCCATGCCCAACTCGTCCTTTGGAGACTACAGACAATACCAGTGAGAGGACTCCCTCACTTCTTATCCACTAGGCCTTTTTGAATTCCTTGCTGAAGTTGCAAAGAAGAAACGGAGATGTAAAACACCACACATGAGAGAATAGCAACTGCACCCAACTTTATGGACCGTGAAGGACAGAGTACATCTTCATTTTCCTTCTTTCAAGAGCCATGTACAGATCAGCCTCGTGCCATTGTCCGCCTTGTCATGTGCATCTGTTTCACCCAACACTGGTTAAATACAAACACGTGGTGAGACTGGGGACGAGGTGTGTTTTTCTGTTTCCTTCATATACATTATGTACTGCATGTAGCCCGACGAGTGGCAGGTCCAGACTGACGAGCTTCGGCCAGTGTTGAATTGAGCAAAAACACGTCACACGTGGAACGTTATAAATTATAAGTATGCTATACATCTGTGTATATACGGTAAAGGCTTTCTGCTTGTATTCCCTCATAGTCTCATTTGCCTTAAATATGTCAGCTGCTTGGGCTGGCCACTTACATTTGGCTGGAATATATTTACTTTGATTTTAAACAAACTAGTCACAATGCTATTCCTGCGATAATGGTTTTGTTTTAAATGAATTAATTTATTTTAGATGCAGAGTTTTACCAGAGTGTTGTATTTTATATTGCAGTGCTTTTACATCCAACACAAAGGTTTGGGAAAGGCTGCTAATGACAGAGGGTGGCCGAGGCAGTACCAATGAATGGAGATACTCAAGCAAGGGATTGATGCGTACTGTATGATAGATCAGTGTGGTACAATAAAGAAATAAGTTGTTAACTGTGTTTGTTGTAATCTTATGAATACAGTTATGCATATATCAGTTCTTGTCTGTCTTATGAAAAGTGTAGATAACGAAGTACAATGAGTTCACGTCAAGCTTTTTAAGTGTACTGTACTTTAGCTGCAATCACCCATGATGCATGCTGCCTGGGCAGGAGCGCTCGTTCCCCACTAGAGGGTAGTCCTCGCAAACATTCAGACCAGTACTGCTCTTTCTTTGCTTGGCCAAGTTTGTGCAACTGGCTGTTTTAGGATGTGTTTACAAAAGCCACATAAGGGAGCACTTTCCTCTCACATTCTTGCATGTTTGTGTCACACACGCGCACACACACACCTGTTACCTGTTTGAAGCCCCTGCTGTGTGGTGATGGGTGAAGGACACTGGATGCATAAGGCGATGGGGAATGGACTGTTGATGTAACTTTAACGTCACCAGTTTGATATGCGAGGTCAGTAATCCAAGAAAGAGCTGTACACTTGAGACTTAAGCCGTGCAAGTCACAAATATATATATATATATATCAAAAAGAAACGAGATATGACTCCAAATCATTTAATTCTCAAGTTTTAACCAGAACAAATACATCCAGAACAATTTAGAATAAATACAAAACCTTGTACATGACACACTTTAGATATTAAGTCTGGGATTTAAAAGATTTTAGCGAATAATCTTGCTATTTGGTTGAATAATCAAGTAATTGTTTGATCAATAAAATTGAGGAAAATCGCATATCACAGCTTTCCAATTGAGAATATCTTGATATTTTTAAGGGCTTGTTTTGTCAAACCAACTCTCCTAAATATTCAGTATTGTGTCCGAGAAGACTTCGAGGAGCAGAAGATGAAAAGTGTTTTACGAACTGAAGAATTTTGGCCTTTTCACCTAAACAAAGCGCTTAAACAATTTGTTGATTATCAAGTTCAGTCATTTTCCATGAAACGAGATTTGATTAATAGACATATTTTCATCGCTAATTAGGCCAAATATTTTGGAAATGGTCAAATGGTGTCTGTGAAACCTGAAATTGACAAGATGCTTAAGACTTGTAACTTCTCTTGGACTTGCTCAAGGACTTCACACTTGGTCTGACATGACTTGAGTCTTGGACTTGCCTTTGCCTATTTGACATATTTAAAACCAAATTTGCCCAACCAATAACCCCCCCTCCCCAATAATTAGAATGTAACAACACAAAGTCACATTTGAAGTTGGAACATAACAATTTTTGGACTTGGCTTAAACAGTTATTTGATTCATTAAATTTTCTGTCAATCTACTATTTGATAGATTGACAAATGAACGGGTGTTAGAGGAAAATGTTGAAAAGGTGTGTATGTGTGAAATCTAAAATTGACGAGAAAGTTGCTTGTGACTTGTGACTTGTCCTCAAGGACTGACAATACTTGAGACTAGATTTTGACTTGGGACAGAAATGCGTATAACAGCTGAACTCATGGAGTTTGTCATCTTAAACATCATGGGCAATGCAATAATGATGAGTAACTTTACAAACAAAAATACTTCATTTGGTATTTATTGCATTTTACAAGGAGTCCTAACTAATCCTTCAAGAATGTAAAATGTTTAAATAAAACACCTGAAAGAAATGTGTTTGCAATATATTAGTAAGAGTGAATAAAAGCAGTTTATGTGTGTTTCTACTGACGGTCATCGTTACTGTGCAGCCCCGTTATCATGCAAATGATGCAGGACGCGTGGCCCATGTGTCATGCCCTTTTAAGAAAAATGAGAAATAGTAGGGAGTGACGTCTGCTGCGCACAGAGAGGCCGGAGGCAGACTGACACTTGCGGAGCGGCGAAAGACAGCGAGCGAGAAACGGTGAGTGGAAACGCCAAACTTTACTACATGCTAAACGCGGTCAAGTAAGTCATTTGCGTGGGAGCACGACGCGTCGACACACGCGGGATAGTAAGCAGACACAGCAGGTTGTACGGCTCGTGTTATACATGTCGGATAAATGAGAAGAATTGTCCGCAAGTACAAAACGGAGTGTGCACTCCCATTTTAGTCAAGGCCGGGCGGAAGGGCAGGTAACGCTAGCAGTCGAGACTTTCCCGAGAAAATACACCGTGGTGCGGGTTGATTTTTAAACCTGCCACGCCCGGTGGACGTGTGAGCGGTGAATGCGCTTGATTGCGGCGTGTTTGTGACAACCTAGCTGTGTTTTGAATGTACGCTGAGGAGAGGAATGTGTCGCCTAGCTAGCTCGCTAGCTAACGAGCTGTAGCTAACGTTAGCGGTGTTGAAGTGTCGGCGGCCGCAGTCAAAGCTAGCTAGTTAGCGGCATTTTGCTAACAAGCTTTGGTTACGGGATTTAGTGCAGTTGTTGGTATGAAACTAGATTGTTTGGGAACAGATGCTGGTCTCGGTTCCCTGGATTATAGACGATGTTATTTTCGTATTAATCTGTAAACTGGTTTATGATTTGAACGTAATTTGATTGATGTTATGGAAGCTAAGGGTGTAATAATCACGCATCGACGGAGTGTTGGTTACTGCTCTGTGGTGTAGTCACTGCCACAGATTGCAGGGACTTGGCCTGGGCGTGATTAGCACATGCTTACTGCTGTAAGCAAATTAGGTAGATTCACATTGAGATAACCCGAGAGCTCAAATGACTCTCTCTTGTCTGGGGCCAAGCTTTGTGTCAGCCTGTTGCAGGATATTTCTGCTGGTGTGAAACGGGGAAGGTGTGTACTCCCATCCTCAAACTATAAACACTCTGCACCTCTGCTTTATTTACAACAGAATATCACAGTTTCCAAGTGAAGTAGACATTTCTCTTTTTCACCCCGTGGTTAACTGAAATGAGCCTCACCCTGAAGATCCCCTAATCTCCCCACAGCCCAGGTTTGATGAAGAGATACAGGCTGTAAAACCCACTTCCTCCCCCTCTGTTAGCAGCCTTCTGTCTGCAGTCTTGAACAGGAACAGAGACTGGAAGAGGCTATTTTAGTAGGTAGCTACTCCTTTTCCAGCCTATCAGCACGAAACCTTTCTTGCACTCTGGAAAGAGGATGTGGTTACAGGTCAGGGCCCCAGCGACACAGATGTATTCTGCTGATGGTGTTTGTCAGTTACAGATCTTTGTCATAATTAAGACACAGCGCAGTTTTGTTCTGACTCATAGATGGCATTCAGGGTTGTAGTGGACCTCAAAAGAGATGCGACTACTATGTAACGAGATAACGGCAGTTTCAGAGAAGATTGCGCAGGAAGTTTGACAAGGTCTTCTTCAGTGAGATTAGAGCATCCTCGTTACGCATAGGTCTTGGTTATCTGTTCGAGTTTGTCTTTCCCACGTGAAGGTTAGCTCTAATAAGAAACATTCTGTGAAAAGCCTTTATTTGTTTAAGCTCAGGGGTAACGTTTTATTTTACAGGCTCGTAAATTCCTAATTTACTAGGAAGTTTCCTAGAAAGAACTATATAATTTGGTACTAATTAGAGGCAGGGTTCACTTGGTATACTCCATTACTTCCAATTACCTGCTAAGATAGCTATTGTTTTTGCTATTTCTTTTGCAAAAATGTGCAATTTTGACAACGGGCAATCATGCAGTTTAGCATATGAAGGCTTAACGTTTGTAATGAGATAAATTCAATAACACATTTGAATTAAAATGTATAAATTTCAACTTGCGTTGAAGTGGAGCTGTACTTTTAGGGAAATTCCTCTGGATTTCAACATCTGTTTTTAAACTCAACACAACTTGCTTAACGGACCCTTTTTCTACCCCCTATAATTAGCACTATATAACAGTTATTTCCAAGACATTTTCAAGACACTATTAGGGTAACAGTAAAAAGGTTAGCTGTAAAATGAAGGGACCTTTCCATGACAGTTTATCTGCTGTCAGTAGTTTCTGGGTTATTCTCCTAAAGTTAGTGGGTTTCATATGCTAAGCTCGGTGTGAATGAGTGCTGTGAACTGTGGTTGTGGTGGAGGTAGTAATGAGTAACCCGGAGCTCATCAATATAGAAAACACAACACTCTGCCAGAGCAACTATTATCTCACCCTGGTTTTTTTTTTTTCAACCCTTAAACCTCAAGGGGTTATATATTTGTTTCCCAGCGTAGCTTCTGTAATTATCATGTGGATCAACAGGCAAAAAAACATGACACATGTCGGTATCATGCTGTTAGCTTAACCAACGGATGTGTGCATGGTCACCATCCGCACTGGGTGGACGATACAGAGGGCAGCTGTCAATCATACCGCCCTGCTGAGTCAGGCACTTTGACAGCCTCATCGCTGTCGGATTCGCCCCACTACACCAGGAAATTTTGCATCCTGGATTTTGTAGTTGTAGCTGTGAAGCCTTCTGCTCTCTAATTTCAGTCTCTCCAAGTTTGAGACGTAGTTTTATCCAGACACGTTCGCTGCGTATTCTTGCTAGCAGTGGCACCTCGTCCAAGTTCCAGCCCTAGATGGATGCATACTTTTGGCTGTAGAGGGTGAGTGATGCAGTGATGTCATGGCGGAGCATGTTTTCTGTGGCATGTGGCTTCCCCTCGCTCCTTATTTGCTGGGGTTACTACGAGAGCAGAGGAACAGCAGCAGCAGCAGCAGCGTGTTTGTTTTGTGGGGAATGACGGTGTGTAACTGAGGGCAATGGAAAGCGAGAGAGGTTTGATTTTTAAAGCCAGATGTCCTTAAATGGCCTTGTGTTTGTGCGACAGGCGTTTGAGAGAGTGCAGCGTTGTGTGTAGTTGTCCTGGTATGAAAGTTTGTAGAAAAGTTGTCGAAGTAAGAGCATTATTTCAGCCTTTTTGTAAAAAAAATACTAGTTGGGAGTGGGAAGCTGAAAAAGAACGGAGTTAAAATTAGACGGGTTTGTTCACGCATTGAGTCAGAAGCGGGATTTGTTTTGGCGTTGATTAGTAATATCATTTGAGTTGGGGAGAGTGGCATTTGTGTCTTGGCAGGCTTCAGGAGCAACCACTTTGTCATTCTCCACAACATGAATCAGCACACGCTCGCTGAGAATTGTCGTCCTTCACTCCTACTCGAAGCTCAGTAAGACATGCAAGTCCTTTCAAGTGGTTTAACGCTCAATGAAGCATTTTTACTTCAAAACTTAATTGTCTTTATTCGTATGCAAAAGTTGAGCTTCGCAGTCAGCTTTCCAGCACATTACCTGCTAATCAACATACAGGGGACGGCAGTTGTGTAAAAGATAGTACAAGGTTCATTTATTGTCATGGTTCAACAGGGTTGTGCAACAAAATGGAGTTCGTAGTCCCATTTTGCTACATAAAGATGCATACCACCAGACTTGCATATGTTATAGTTTGGTTATTGTGTTAGCTGATACGTCTGTAACGCTTGCCAGGCGGCAGCAGGGTGAACGGGCTTTGGGCGGGGTGGGTATTGTCTTTTTATGTGCTTTGGGCTCTTCGCAGGCACCTCCTTGTCACCAATATCACTGATGCTCGGTAGATGGGTACCAATGATGTTCTGGGCGGTTTTAATCACCCGCCGTAGAGCTCCACATAGTACTGCCCCATACCAGTTAGTAATGTCTCCAGTCAGGAGGACTAATGTTCATTTCCTAAATGAGTATTACTGTAGAACGTGTGAGAATCTGGAGTAGAAAGTCCACCACTCCATGTTGTGAAAGTGACTGTTTCCAACCATTTTTTCATGTTGCCATTTTTGCTTTGGTAAGCACCCACAATTGATTAAAGTAAAAAAAGTCCTTTTTGGTTGGGTAGTTGGTTACCAATTTAATATTAAACCTATAAAAACATTGACCACACAATGCTTTTGTATTTTCTTTATGATTTGAAAATGGCATGTGGCTTATACAGTATTTGTTATAAATGTAAAAGTTGAATGAAAAGGTAATGATACCATTTTTGGAAAAAATAGATCCTGCAAATGATATCTTTCTAATCAGATTTTGCTCAACTTTTATTCCATTTTTTTCTTTACTTTTCTTTAATTTCTTTTTCAGAAATGCATGCATCCTTTATTTTCATCGTTATTAAAGTGAACAACATACCCGTGTAGCAGGAAGCAAAACTGCACTTTTTGATGTGTAGCGTTTTCTATTGAGGCACCCAGCCTCCCGAAATGAATAGTGTTGGCCTCCTCTAACACCAGGAGCAACTATTCAATTGCTCACTAGTTTCTTGTAAAATGTAGGTGTCAGTTGAAACTTTTCCAGTCCTTTAAAAATACATTCAGGTATTTCTGTTCTAAAATATTCAAATAATATGCCTTACACACACCTCAGTTTTGCTCATCCTTCGAGGATTTGTAAGCACAGTAACTGTGCTTGACAGAGTAGACGTCCTCTAAAACATCTGCAGAAGTCCCATAATAATCTCAGTTACCGTCACAGAGCGGGTTCCTGCTGGGGTTCAGTCCACAGTGTCCACACAGGAACCATAGCTGACATGTGAGGCCTAGTCTGAAGAGTGACATTGTCTGTATGACATTGTATGCGACACTGTGCATGCACTTGACTCTCCAGTTGCGCGTTTACATTAGTGCAGCAGGGACTGTTTGCAACAGCACTCGTGCAGCCCTGCTCTTTTTCCTTCCAATGGCTCCTCCCTGATCGTGCAAGGAGAACTTCTCTTTGTGTGTAGAGGATTACCGAGTATGAATTATTCACAGTCCAGGTTTTATGTCCCACATGGCCACTGCTTGTGTTTGAAGTTGGAGGTCCTTGGTTGCTTTGTCCACCCCTCTGAGTATTTAGGAGTGTGCTCTAAAAAGAACAGTGTAGGAGGCGATCAGCTGCTTCCCAGAATGGCTTCCTATTAGCTATTTAATGGTTTGCAAAAAGGGTTGGTTTATCAAGAGAGGCTATATGTTCTCCCTTGAGACCTGATTTCAACTTGAAGCCACTTACTGATTATTATTTTTTTTTGCACAGCCTTGATGCCAACATGCTGCACTTTTCAACCCATGACCGAAAAGTTCTATACTCTGGTTTGGGGATCGATTGCTTTAAAGTGCAGTCGAAGAAATCAGTAACTTGGCAGCCTAAATGTGGTACAGTTAGGCACAAGGATGGTGATTGCCATTTACTGTAGCTCCCATAATGATGGCGTTGCCTTACCCGAGTCTACACTGTGATGTAGTATTACACTTTAATCTTCATTTTCAGTGCAGGAACAGTCGCTGAAAATGGGGAGTTCAATTTTTCACATGTATTGAAGTAGGGTTTCAACAAATTATTATTTTCATTATAGATTAGTCCAATAGTTATTTTCTCGAGTAGTCATTTGGTCAATAAAAAGTCAGAAAATTGTGACCTCTTCAGATGTCTCGATTTGTCTGACTGGCAGTAAGTTCAGTATTCAGTTAACAGTCGTAGAAGGAAGGAACCCTGACGATGTTTATGTTTGAGACGCTGGAAACGGAGAGTTTTGGCACTTATTTTCTTAAAGTCCTGAAAGTTTGCAAAGAATCCGAAATCCCCCCCAGTTCACCCAGCCACAGCCCTCAGTGCAGTCGTCTCTCTGAAGCCCTACACACGGTGACCCAGTTGACTAACCCAACTGACTTTACGCCACAATGTGTGCCAACGATTCGAAGCCTCTGCATCCCAGTCGAATATTCCCCTCCCCTCAGCTATTTTTCGTCATTAGTCGAAAACTGACAATAGTTTTCTGTTTTACAGTACCAAGAAGGAGTGAGTAACTAAAACATCTGACAGCAGGGTGTGTTTTGTTGTGTGAAGGCCAGATGATTGTGTCAGTAAGAGGAATATCTGCCAGATCCATGTATCCTCATCATCTCCCCTTCAGTTCCCCCTCCACTCACACACACCACAGCTGGTTTGTGTTAGAGAGGGGTCACATACTCCTCACCTCCTCCACCCTGAAGCAGCTCCACTTATGGGTGTTCCCTCCATTGTTGTGCTGCTTGTTGTCCATAACCTCCAGGAATGACTAGAATCCTTCCTTCTTGGTGTCGAAAAACTCACAGACCAGGCTGGGAAAACTACTTTGTTTTGCTTCAAAAGTTGGATCTTGTTTTGTTTTGTTTTTGTTAATCTACTTTTGCACCTCACTCATTTTGTCTCTCCCATTTTGCCTTTCTCCATTTGTCCAGTGCAGACTGTTGGGCTGTCCGGTGAAGCAAACCCGCCATGCGTGAATACAAGCTAGTGGTGTTAGGCTCTGGAGGTGTGGGCAAGTCCGCTCTGGTAAGTATCCTGAGCAAAATCCTGAACTTTTATGCATTTTCTTGTCGTTTCAAGATTGTGAGGAGACCGTAAATGTCTGTGAAATGTTGCGTACTCTGCTTAGCTAACCTCAACCAGGTGTCGGAGTTAATCCCTCAAACTGGCAGGCTGACATGCTTTGAGCGTAAGACATTATCTGGTGAACTCGCTCTACCCCTAATGTAAACCTACCATGAAGCACACTCCTAACGTAGACCTCTTTTATTTAAATTTATGTGTCTCATGTCTATAAGATGAATCAGACTTTTTTTTTTTTTTCTTGCATCCTGGCTGGTCTGACTGGCACCACCATGAACATCCTCTTCTTCAGTTGCCCTGTCGAGCCGTTGTGATAAACACAGCGAGGACACATGATACTTTTGCCGCTCTGGATGATGTTTTGTTCCTGTTGCCGGCAGGTCACATTGATCTGACGTTTGCTCGCTCTGTGTCTTCTCTTGCAGACAGTTCAGTTTGTACAAGGAATCTTTGTGGAAAAATATGACCCGACAATAGAAGACTCGTACAGAAAGGTGAGTGTCCCCTTGGGGGGGGCGGGGGGGGAGGAGGAGGAGGAGAATGAGCTGATTGTTAGCAGCTGCTTTGCAGGTTCACATCATGATATTGTTTTTTCTCATCGGACTCCCTTCTATCTCATCTGTGTTGGATTTTGCTCTGTGTTGGATTTTAGATTTGGAATATTATGTCTCAATTAAAATAAATCATATAATCTGTTTTTTTCTCTTGCAGCAAGTGGAGGTAGATGGGCAGCAATGTATGCTTGAAATTCTCGACACAGCAGGCACAGTAAGTGAACTCTATACCCCTGAATTCTCTGTTGATACTGTTTTACTGTGATTAAGGATCCCAGAGTCACTGTATCGAACACATTTTAGGAGGAAAACTGTCTATTTGACATTCCTCCTTCTGTTAAGGGATCAGTAACAGAATCCTTAACATTTAAACTTACTAAACAGCAGCATGTTGACATTTAGCCTCACAGCATGGCTGTTCATGTAGAAATGGCTTTCTTTTTCTCCAGCACAATCGTGTGTGTGTGTGTGTGTGTGTGTGTGTGTGTGCGTGTAATTTTATGTATGTTGATGGTGCAGAAGCAACATGCTTGTTTCCTGTGGAAACTCTGAGGGCGATGATAGTTCACCTACGATACACAATGGTGTGACTGTGCTGTGGAAAGACTCAACAGAGATGCAGCACTTCCACTGCAGAACATCTGTCACTATATGTACTGAATCTCAGAACCAGTCAGAACATTGTGATTTCCTGTTACGTGTTGGACTTTTACAATAACCATTCAAGAGTTTTTACAAAATGCCAGAGAACATGTGACGGAGCTCATGACCCGTCTTTCCTCTTCCTGTTCCCCGCTGTGTAGGAGCAGTTCACAGCGATGAGGGACTTGTACATGAAGAACGGCCAAGGCTTCGCCCTGGTATACTCCATCACAGCACAGTCCACCTTCAACGACCTGCAGGACCTGAGAGAACAGATCCTACGAGTAAAGGACACAGAGGATGTAAGTACACAGTGTGTGCACCGCTTACATGAACTTGTCCACATCTTCAGAAAACCTTTTTTCTTTTTATTTTTATTGTGGCAATAACACAGAGAGTGGAAAACAGTGCAGAAATGTTCCCGGCTCCACACTTCTGTGTTCTCAGCCGCCTACATTGTTCGCCATCTGGTTGCACTGTTGCTATGGTTACCATTTTAACACTGTAATCCTCTCATGCCGGTGCAAATTTGTATTGCCTCGACATAATGCGCAGGGTGTCACGGTGTCATTTTCTGTGTAGTGAAAACAATGAGAAAGCCCTTACTGATGTTTTGTATGTAGCCTAGCATAAAGATTAGCATCACGGAGGTCCCTCTGTGGTTCGATCACTTCATCTGTGTTTAACATGGACACAGAGCCAAAGTCCCCACTAAGCTAAGAGTCTGGTAAAGGGAGGGGAATGTCTTTGTCTCACAAGTGGATGTTCAACCCTTAATCTTCTTTCTTTACACCCATATGATGTAGTTTTCTGCTCCAAGATCTGTAATGGAGGAAATAAAGAGAGCATGCGTCATGTCATTATTGTGCTGTTAGTTGGAAGCGCAGTTCTACTTTACTGAATCTCTTTTGAATTGTGAGGCTGTAGAGTGAGTGAGCCCTGCATCCCCTCTCTGCTGGGCCAGATAGTGCGTCAGCAGGATCTCAGATGCCCTTTTTTGGTGATCTCTGGAGGGAATGAATGTTACCATATCTCTCTCTCTCCCTCTTTCCTTCCCTCGCTCTCTCCCTCTCAACTATCTCTGCAGCCTGGCGCTGAAGTTTTACACTCTTTTCTGCGCATCTTTCCTGCTCCCTTTCCTCTGTATCTAGTCCAGTATGCTCTCGTTGCTCTTTGCCGACCCCCCCCCCCCTCTTCGCTATGGTCTCACTGTGGTCTGGAACTCTGCGGGTGATTGGACTGTCGGCGATGAAAGGAAAGCCTGAGCCCATCAGAAAACACACCGGATTGTGAGGTTGTAGAACATCATTAGAGGCTTCGTGGTTAGGGAACTGAGGTTAGCCTCAGGCGAACAGATGGATTGCAGGATCAGCGGCTCCTCAACTTGCAAGAAAACAGTTGACGTCCTTTTCTTTCTCTGTGGTCCCTCTGAATATTTCCCCAGTTTGTGTTTATCCGAGTGGTACAGCCACTCTGTCGGCTATCAGTCCACTGGTGATTCATCCCTTCACCTATGATGGCCGTGACATCTGTTTATCTCTCCTCGCCCCTTGCAGGAACACACGACCAAAGGAAACGCTTAACGTGTTTTCTTTCTTCTTTTTTTCCATCCAAGAGGACCGTTTTCTTATTAGGAGAAAGCTTTCATGCTATTGTTAACGCAGACCTTCTAGCTGCTGCTGCAGCTGTTCTCGTTCTTGGCTCTTGCACGCACCATTTACTGCAAAGCTGGCAAAATGTACAGACGCACTTGATATTGCCAAGCTCAATTAACAAGCCTTTTAAAATGACCGTACATTGATTGCAGTCAGGCCAAATTCCATCTCCTTAAAGAAGTCATTAAGAGAGGAGAATAAAGTGAAAGAGTAAATGAAAAGCTCACTCCTCTTACTTCCTTCCACAGTTCTTACGTAAGAGAGGTCTTATGACTTTTCTGGGCCGTCTCTGCTTGTGTGACTCCGATGGTGCTAATGCCTGACTCCGTGCTTGTGACTCACTCCTCCATTTGCAACGACTGGCTCCATTAATTTAAGCTGCTCCATGCTCCCCCGTTCTGGGTTCCCCACAATCCGATCATGCCATCGTGGGCGGGACAGGACCTGTCTGTAGCATGTTAACTGCGTCTGAACGGATTCTCTGTGGGCTGCGTGGATTCTTCCTCCAAGTAGGCTAATGCTGCCTTGTGTGCTGCTGACACTGAACATTTTTGGCTTCCCTGCATACCTCCATCCTACCATCCCCTCACTCTCTCCATCCTTTTCATCCCAGCTCAGCTCACAGTTTGTGTTGGGAGGGCATACCACTAGTTCTCCCAGGACCCCTGGGAGAAATGTCGTTCAGCAGTCCAGTGCGAGGGCTTGTTTGGATATCAAACATCAAGCAGCAACCTCCACGGGGTTAATCTAAACATTGCAGTTTCCTGTCGTCTGCCCCACAGCCCAGAGAGGGCGAGGGAGAGAGGGAGAAATGAAAAACGGAGCCTGGAACAGTCATACTATGCCTTTAATAGTATTACATTTGGCCATACTGCTGTCAAACAACCTCTGAACAGTAGACTTGGGAGAAGGTCTCAGGTTTGAGCAAGCTAGCACATGTTGGGGTACTACCATGTTGCTTAGAAATATCCAGTTTTTCCAGATCCACAAGACCCATTTGGGTGCAGTTTGTGAACCAGGAGAAGGGAGCGAAGGCAGGATTTCCCATGCATGGATTTATTTGTTGCCGTCCCCACCACAAATAGATTTCTCCCAGCTGATATATTATTGGCGCCTGTTGTGCTGCCTGCAACATTTTCCACTAGTTGATTATGTCTCCTGCTTGTTAGGCTGCACCACAAACACAAATATCCTGGGAACCCGAGAACACCGAGACAAAATGCTGAACTCTTCCTCAAACTTGAGCCTGGAGCCTTACTCCGTTGTCATATAGCTATAGTAAAGTTCAAGCGCTGAATGAACGCAATCTACACAAAGGGGCATGCATACAGTCTCGCACTATCGTGGAATCCAGCTGAAATGTTGGAAAACATTCAGGAAGGAAAGCGATGTTATCCCGGCAGGGCGGGGCTGCCATGACTTCCTCCGGGGCCAGCGTGCTCCCTAGATAGACGGTCAGGAAACAGCAGGCAGGATGAGACGCATCCCGACACCCTGACCGCCTGTGACAGTCGGCGCTGAAGTTTTGCCCAGATTATTCTCTCTTCCTCAGAGAGTTTTGTTTATTTTTTGACCTTGGTTAAAACGGCTGATTTGAGGCACAAAAGAAGAAGTGTTGGGTATTTCTGGGAGATTCCAAACCCAGATCCACTTCATGTCGGTGGTTGTGTTCTCAGTTAATGCTTTCCTTTTTATAAAGAAACAAAACTAACAGAAACTGCATTAATTGTGAGTTCATATTGATTCTTTAATCTCTTTTGTCAGTGTTGTGCAACCTAATTGATTTTCCTTCTGCCGTCCCTCGGGGATGGATTGATTTCCTTGATTGTCTTTGTGCCTCTTTAATCCAGGCTTTAGATTTAAATTAATGGGCTACTTAGCTGTTAACAAACATGTGTCCACATGTGGACCCTTCACAGATTTTAATGTCACCAGTGTGCTCGAGAAGAGCTGTGCCTATAAGGTTAGATTTGTTCTTTCAAGGGAAGACGTTCATTCATCACACACACTGATGAGTGCCAACAAGATGCCGCTCAAAGCTTTGTTGCTTTATTTAAATCTGTTTCCATCACTTGCTGCACGTTGTCTTTGATACACCGCCTCTCCCCATCCAGGCTTTGTCGTATTCTTGGCATTCTTCTTTTTTTTTTTTTTTTTTTTAAATGCACAACTTGAATGCACTCTTTGAATCCAAACATGCATCCTTATGCATTAGCAAATTTAGAATCGTTTTGTTAAAAGGAAGAAAAAAAACGTTTTTCATGACTTCAGTTGTTTTCTAAAAAGTAGAATTTAGATTAGTGTTAACACGTTGTAAATGGTAGCTTGCAATAACTCTCACTGTCCCCTTGTTCCATCACCTAATTCCCTTTCTGCTCAAACCCCTCGACTTTTCTATTGTCTCATTTTTAATTCTCCTCTGTTACCAAAGATTGCTCTGTACTTGCTCCCTCTTCTCTCCGTTCTACTCTATTTATTTTTATGGGCTTACTTGTGAACCTTTGGGCGTACCACTCAAAATAAAGTAACACATCTGTGTTTAATTAAACCCTTTTTTTCCCCCCATAGCTTCAAATCTGTAGTTTTTATTTATATATTGATGTATTCATTTGAGCACAATCTTAAACACTTTAGAAGAGAGAATGATGCGTTTTGGTTGCATGTATGAAGTTTATTTAGTTTTTATGACTTAAAATCACAAGCTTGCCTCAAAGGGATCCTTGCTGTTTGTCCTCAGGTGCCGATGATCCTGGTGGGGAACAAGTGCGACTTGGAGGATGAGCGTGTGGTGGGGAAGGAGCAGGGCCAGAACCTGGCCCGACAGTGGAACCACTGTGCCTTTTTAGAGTCCTCTGCTAAGTCAAAGATCAACGTCCTCGATGTGAGTACACACACACACGCATCCCCCCCACTGGTGGCCCTCCTGTTTTAAACAACTAATCTTCAAAATACCAGCCGTAATATTACATTCATCTCTCAGGGAAAAGCTGACCTAGTTGTAAAAGGGACCTCATCTGAGTTTTATTTTTGTGTTAACAAAGACCAGTATAATTATACCTGCTACTCAGTGCTACACCCCTTAAACTCTGTGTGTAAACGTCTGCATCAATGCATAATAGTGAATGCTTAAAGGTCCCACAGTGTGAAAAGATGTTCCTTGTACGAAAGAGATTTTATCACTGTATTTACTCACCGACACTTTTCTCTTTGTCACGTCATTCCTAGATCTTCTACGACCTGGTCAGACAGATAAATAGGAAAACGCCAGTGGAAAAGAAGAAGGCGAAAAAGAAATCCAACTGTGTGCTGCTTTAAAGACCCCCACACCCCCTCCTCCAGCCCCTGCAGCAGCTCTGAGCCAGGTGTGTGTGTGTGTGTCTGTCTAAAACCGGCTCACCTATTCATGAGGTCATGATGCATAGGCTGTCGGGTTAATTAGTGTTGCATAATAACGTTGATCTTTCTACGTCATCTCAGATGATGCTGCTCACATCAGTGGTAGTTAATCATTCATCACAGTCTATTGTGGGTGTGTTTGCCTGCAGTGAAGTGAAATGAGTCTGTGTAGCCTGGTATTACATTGTGTCATCAGTGGTTACCGTCCCGTCTCAGGCTCAAACTTTCACCTGGTACTGGGAACCTTTTGAGGAACTCACTGAGTTTTGACTGCAGGAACCAGGGTCTAAATGCACCCCCCAAAAACCGTATGTCTTTGTTTGATAACATAGGAAAGTTGGGCTTTGCTGTCCGATTCCCAACTAATTAAAAAAAAAAAGACAGAGATTGCTCGAGCGAGCCAAGCGGGCAAGTGGTAGAGACGGAGAGCGCGGCGGTGTTGTGAGCAAAAGCCAAAAACAACCAAAAACCTTTTCACGGCCGTCGTTTAAAACCCAGATAAATAACCCTAAAACTCAAAAGATGAGGCCGAGTGTTTCCCCCTGCGACCACCAGCAGCCCTCGCCCGGTGGCGTGTTGCTTTTTTCATACGTCAGCGGACCAATATGCCGAATCTTCACTGGTCTTTAGACTGTTAAGGTAACGCAGACAACACTCGGCTGAAGGAACCAGATAGTTCCGTAGACTAAAATTGCCAGGAACCTCTTGGTGGTAAAGCGGCTTAACAAGGACTTCAGCACATAAGGGAAAAGAGACGGAGCAACAGATGGTGCAAGTGGGAAATATTGACTTTATTCCTAATGAACTGACCTCATATTAACACTCCACCTGGTTTCATCTAACTGGACCCAGTAGATGTTAAAAGTGTTTTTAGTGTTGCAGTTATTTCAGGGCAACTTACTGGCGTTGAACAGTGTGATCTTGGTCTATTCTGGGACGAACACGTAGTTATTGTTCATAGAGGAACTATTCCATGTGACGGATCAGACGTGTTTTTTTGTAACTTGCATGTGTGGGACCTGTCTCGTCCCTTTTTCTAAAAATGACTACATATGTCATTTCTTTGATGCTGATTAGTTACAGATCCAGTTAACGTTTCGGAGCACGGCAACATCCCGTGAGTCAGCCTTCAAAAGTGTGAAGTGCTTTCATTTGCAATTTTTTACTTCTTCGTTGCTGTTGAATGAGTGTGATGTGTGATGGCTGGATTTAAATGTGGACCTCAGCAGACTGCAACAGCTGGTAAAGTCTGAGGAAATCCGGATCTGTCATCAGGTTGTTTCCCAGGAAAATTAGAATCGCTTCTTCTTCTTTCAGTGTTTTTTACATCTTGGCCCGTTTGTTGTAATGAGGAAGTCTGAAAAAAGACTGGCTCCGTAAACGAGGCTGCTGATTCCCGTCAAGCCTTCTAAACAGGTCAGTTTTAGACTGGCCTTGACTGAATTTACTGTGTGTGATGCACTAATTCATCTTCATCCGTACTCGGTGATGGATTGTAGATTGACGGTACAAAGGAGCTCCGATCAATGCAGCCCTATTTGTAAGCATTGGTAGTTGCATTTCTTTTCACTCTGCTTTAATTGTACGGACATTTTTCTACAATTGTCCTAAACATGCATTTTAATTCAGCTCCAGGTTGGCAATTTAAACAAGATCCTCTGTCATGATACAGAAACTTTTGTGCTATATTTGTATCCTAATGTTTTTGGAGAATTCAGCTGAGAAACTGTTATAAATAAATGAAAAACAATGTGCGTATTCGCTTAGTCGGATCAGACCCAAAATGTAATGGGTTCCTACCTCGCCCATGCTTCACTCTTCCACCTTTCAAAAGACATGAAAATCACATGAACATAACCTCCTTGGCGGAGGTGACACGGTAACTTAAATACCCGATCAAATCAAGGAACCTCATCACACTGGTACCGATAATGCCTAAATTACCATAACTCATATTAATTTGTAATAATGATTAACACACAGAAATGGCAAATGCACAGTCACCCGGTATGAGCGGTGAGGCATAATCCAAGCAGGAGACGTTTTTAGTGCTGTTCACATTAACCAAAAACCCACTGTAGGTCGGAGGTCACTATGAGCTCCTGATAAGATTTAACCCGGTTAACCCACCGCTCGCCCACTTACAAAGTCCCGGTAAGAATGTTTCCACTCTGATGTGGAAAGTTTCCTTTGAAAGATGACTTTAGATTCAGTCAGTTGAGCAAATCTTGTGAGATCTCATGACGTGTATCCAGCCTCACATGGAGATTACAAAGCTGGGCCTCAGTATTTCCAAAAGTTGACGGTGTGAGTCTAAAGGGGTCACTTTGCTTGGAAAGAGCTGTTCCCCATGGCCACTCTCAAGGTCAGGGTGAAGAGCCTCCTCGAAGGCATTCATAGAGCGGCACCTGGATGTACGTAGTAAAAGTGATGGAAGTTGTTGTGTGAGGAATGGAAAAAAAACAGAGCTGGACTGAAAAGTTTAAGCTTTGCCTGCAAGGGGTGTGATTGTCTGTCAGTGGAAAGTTACTGCAGATGGTACCTCAGCTCAGTGACTTCTTCATCGGGACACTCGCTGGATCCTCATTGGCAACTAAACAGAGGAATGTCCTTTCTCTTCTGTCAATTGTACGGCGCAGTTTTGCTGGTTGACATTTAAAAAAAAAAAAAAAAAAAAAATCTGTGTCCAGTAAATAAAAGAAGTTCTTGTAAGATGTCCCGTGTTGCACTAGTGACTATTCTATGGGATCAGCTCGCTTGGAACCTCGACCGAGGCGGTACCAAAAAGAGAACCAGGTACTCTCCGCAACCTTTTCTAACGGGAAACCAAAAACACAGTGCTGAGTAGAGCCGTGCCATGCATCCTCAACACGTAGTTGGCCCGTGTTTGTTGATTGTACAGGAGCCTCTATGCTTCATGCGGCCTTCTGTTTTGTACGCCCACTGCTTCTGATCAGTGAGCCTAATGTTCTACAGGGTAGCAAGATGAGAAGGGAGCTGGAGGTCTTCACTACAAGCCGTATCTTCTGTGGGTGTCGACCAGACTGAATCGTCCTAGATGATGACACTTCACCATGTTTAGGGCTGCTGTCCTGTAGCTGACCCCCCCCCCCCCCCACCCCTTTTTTTTTTTTTTTTTTTATCTGAGTGAACAATTAATTCCTTTCAGGATTTCAGTATCTCATAATTACTATATTCTCCGCTGACGGCATCAAAACACGAAGCCCTTCTGCTGAACTTCCTGTATTGAGAGCGATTATTCCCTCTGGTGTGATCGCTTCATTCTTCCCATAAAATTCTAGCGTCCGCGTCCCTGTAGCATACAGTGCACTTAATATCACAACAGACGGGTAAAGGATTCTACACTAGACCGTGTGATCTTTGTGCGAATACAACTTTGATATGGCGGATAACGTGGGATTAGTAAAACAGACGGCACCATTGTGCCCAGCCCAGACATCAGGGTCGCTAACCCACCCACTGCGTTCCTCGTCTGAATCCATCTGTGTTGGTCAGTTAGTGGTCCGGTGTGTGAGACTGGGGGCCTCTGTCAGCCGGCCCTGGGGCGGTGTCTGCCCAGTGAACCAATGCTAATGGGATTACAGCGCCGCTGTTCCACTGCTCACAACACACAAGCTCATACACTGTAGGGGGGTGGGGGTACAGTGCCAGCCTCGGACAGCACCGAGAGAAAGCGCTAATGGGACGTTTCACTTTGTACAACATGGGCGTTTTCCAGTTTGCTGACCTCATGAGCCGCCGGTCTCTGATTTATCCGTCACCGTCTTCACTGGGACAGAAATTGACTCGTAGCTGAAACCTGATATGATGGTGTATTGATTCTTAGTTAATCGATATAGTCGGTATTTGCAGTTTTGTAGACTTTTTAAAACTTGTATTTTGTAGGACATGCTGGATAGAGGCAGTTAAAAAGAAGCAGTTTGTCCTTAATGATCGAAGTGTAACCGTGTATGTGAGACTCATGCTAGCACATGTAGCAACAGGCGGCCTTCTGTTCCTCCGTGTTGTCTGCAGTGTCGAGTCAGATGTGCCCACATGTTGTTTTATCACCTCAATGTGAGCCTTTGCAATTAGAGTTTATAGACTTGCTACTTGTCTTTTTAAACTTTGAAATCTCAAAGTTCGATGTTACTCCAGCTGTGAGTTAAGCATGTACCTCTCTAACGAACTACACAGTGAGCTCTTTCTCAAAGCAGGAAAAGCACAGGTGAAACCAATGCCGTTAGTTCTGGCTGCGTACCATTCAAGGGCTCCAGGTGGCCGTGCCAGTGAGCTACAGTAGCGTGCACAACGTCACGGCCCTGGAACATTTGATTGGAATGCAGACATCTTTTAATATTGTCAATAACAAATGTGTCTGCTGGGAAAAACAGACACATACTTCCAGGACTGTGGTCTGTGTTCCCTCAGGCTTTGTTGTTAAAAAAAAAAAAAAAAAAGGACATTGGGTCAACCCAAAATTAAAGCATTTCCATAAAAGTTTACAAACAAATGAATGTGCCGACGACAGCTGCGGACGCAGTCCTTGTGTTTTCTGGTTGTCCGTCTGTCCGGTCCGTTCTCATGATGTCTCAGGAACACCTGGAATGAATTTCTTCAAATTTGACTCAAACGTGGATTCAAGGATGAACTGATTTAGAGTTTGGTGGTCAAAGGTCACTGTGACCTCACAAACCCTATGATATCGTCATCTAAGAATTGATGTGTTGTGTGCAGATTGTGAAGCCCCCTGAGACAGATTTGTGATATTGGATAAAATGATCAGGATAAGAAATGTCTTTCTTCCTTAACATCAAAATGTATGCGAATAGTGACCCTGATTTCTGTTTTCTCCTCCTACGTTACACTGCTATGCCTCCTCCAGATGTAATGTCATTGACCGGCCACTAGAGGGCTCTCACAGCTGGTCCATGGTGTTTTTGTAAATCCTAACCAGGCTATGAAATGAGGACTTACCACTGTGCTGTCTTACAGAAATGCTGTAATGAAGAACTGTTGCCCTGATTGGAACGTGCCAGCATTCCAACAGCCCCGCCCACCCACCTCCCCTCCCTCCATCAGCCATAAAAACGGTGAATCAGCTGACTGAACTGCTCCTATCAAAGACGAGGATGATCTACACCAGAGAGAGAGAGAGAGAGAGAGATGGAGAGAGTAAAGACAGTAAGAGAGAGAGATGACTCTGGTCTCTCGCCTCCGAGGACCTTCCTCTGTGTCTCAGTTTCAGTGTGAACCCTGAACGGACAGTCTCTATTTTCTGCACCAACAAACACCACAAACTTAAGATGATGATGATGATGATGATGATGATAAAAGCCTCTGAACGTTTAAAAGAAAAAGTGTCCATGAGCCGCCTACATGGCCAGAGACAGCCCCCTTACTCTCTTTCTTTTTTTGACAGATTAACAAAAAGAATATAACGGCGTTAAAAAGAAGGAAAACAAAGTTAAAACTTGGATTCAGTATTTTTCATCTTTTTCATTATCAATATTGTATTTGAAAGACATGGAAGTTGACCTATTTTTAGTTGTATGATTATAAATATTCTTCAAAAACAAGCATGATAAAATGCATCAGTTAAGTGTAGATGTTTTCAAGTGGAACAGTGAGAATTATTTTATAGCCATACACCTATTCTCCATGCCCGTCATGTCAGTGATGATAGATCAAGGTCTATAATATGAGTTATTTTTATTATATATATTTTTTTCTTTGTTCGCCCTGTTGTTCATGGAATTCTCTTCTGCGAATATCTCTCTCTGATGTGACTTAATTTTATACTCAGTCACTGGGATTTCATAGCTCCCATAATATATTCTAATGCCATTTTTTTGCATATTAATGCTTCAGAAAAATGGGTCTTTTATAGAAGAAATATGGGGAAAAATAAGGATTGATTTCTATGTCTCTTGAAGCTGAAATATATTATACTAAACCAACTCTAATAATGCTTCTTGTGTTTTTCTGTCAATGATGTTCCAGCTTTTATGGATTATTAAAGTACATTTTAGTACATTTTCATTATATTGGTCAATGTATTTTTGTGAATTAAACTTTTATCCAAAGCAGATTTGACTTATTTGAGAAGAGTGAAATTAAAAGATGATTTTTTTTTTTTTTTATTATTATTAAAGGGTTGGAAACTTGATATGGAACCAACATAGTAATTGTGGGGACATTTAAGTGAGCTGTTGAGTATTGTTTCTACACCGTGAAACCAGTCTTGTCATTAATCAACAGATGCCAGAGAGGGGACAGTTTGTCTAATGACCACTGGGTGTCAGTGTATGAACAGAAGTGTTTCACACATTCAGAGGGAACTGATTCAAAACCTTCACCCCAACAGCCGGTTATATAATGTGGAATAATGGGACAATAAATCACAATGAAAGTAGTGCTTCGTTGTCGATAGTTCTTCTTTCCAAAAAACCTGTTGGTTTTGGAAAGTTCCCCTCAGTGTTTGTGGTAAGCTGAGCCGCCACAGCCTGCTTTAATTCTACTTCCTCACCTGAAAGACGGGATCGTCTGTAATCTTCTTTCACTATTTTGCAAAGTGCAAACGAATGCTGAGGGGATTTACAAAAATGTGAATAGATGAACGGTTGAAGGCTACATTGAATATATTCTGATTTGTTTGGTGAAATAACAGCTTAGGTGTCTTGAATATCAACTTGAAAGATAAATCACTTTGTGATTTTGAATTTGATGACAGCTTAAACTTACTTTAACTCTTGTACATAATCACTTACAAACTTAGGCTCGTGTTTTCAAACCAGGAGACGCAAACGTGATTACAGTTGGACTTTAAACAAGACTTACTTTTGAAAGGACACATTATTCCTTTTACAAAGGAAAAGTTGACTTCTTAAGCCGATTTTGCTGTAATTGTTTCAATAGTTGTATTGTGATATATTTTTTCTGAAAAAAATCAATTGAGAAACGGTTGATGGATTTAAAAAACAATCAAGACTTTGCACATATAGGAAGTTAAATGCCTGATAAATAACGGCACTTCATCTCACACATACCATAATACTGTATATATGGTCGCATCAACTCTAATGTATGTTATATTTATATGCCAGGAGTCAAAATAACCTGACAGGCTGTGAGCAGGAGCACTTTTTAAACAGAGAGAGAGAAAAAAAAATGCTGCATCACCTAAGCTCCTTATGTCTCAGAGGGGGACGTGTCAAGCAGAGGAGGATGCTAAATGTCTGCTGGTGAGAACGGTGCAGAAGGGATTAGAAGGTATGACTCACTTCTTCTTCTTGTTTTTTTTACTCTTATCACCTACACTGCAGCCTTGATCGGGCCCTTAATCCCTTTAGTGGCTGAGAAGCGAAGTAATACCAAAACACTTTTGCATTCATTATCCTCTGTGAAATAATGCCCGCTGTCATCCTCCAGACTCCCCTGGCTTCTGAGGTTTCTTCAGCTTCTCCATGTCCCCGAGGACAAGCAGGAAGGCTCTTTGGTACCAGGTGGGCTCGAGTCAAATCAAAGCACTCTCCTATGATCCTCGCTAGTATGCAGCCACTGGAGCTTGTTCAAAACATGGTTTAATACGCTTAATATTTTACATATCCTTGGTTCAAAATTGGGATATTTTAATGCTACAACAAACGACAACATTTTAGTGTGCTTCACACTTTGTAGCAACAGCTTCTGTACCTGTTCAAACATGACGATACCCCGATGAACACAGGGAGGTTCATAAGGAAAGTGTTCTGCTGTAGAAGTATCAGCAGAGTAACTCCCAATGGGACAGAGGCATCGTTGCCGTTTCAAGCGTTCTGTTTCACATTTAATTTAAACCATCGCAGCTGGTGTGTATCAGCTGTCATTTCCTGACACCTCTATCTGCTCTTGGTGACGGTTTTAAAGTACAGCCGAAACTTGATACTCCAACACTGCCTCTGTGCCATTTGGAGTAATTTGACTTTTGTTTAGCAGGTTTTATAAACAGTGGATCTCCTGGTTTGACCCCCCCCCCCCCCCATCAAACACCGTTGGGAAGAACGGGTATGCGTATTGGCCAACATCAGTGCCCAACCTCACGGTTTTGGGGCTGACCTGCAGGCCCAGATCCCAAAATCGTGTGTAAAGCCTTCCTGGAAGAGTGGAGGTTATTATGGCAGTATATTAATGTGCTGATTTTGGAATAAGATGCTCAACAATCACATGTAAAAAATTCTCAACAACTATTGGACGGATGGCCATGCCAAGACGTTCATGTTCCCCAGAGGATGACTCTTATTGACTTTGGTGATCCTCTTCTTTTCTTTTGGTTTTGTGTGAAATGTCTCAACAGTCAGTCGGTCTTCTGTCCCCGGATGACTCGTGGAAACTTTGGTGAACCTCTGACTTTTCATCTAGTGCCATCATCTGGTCAAAAACTAATGACATCCCCATCAGCATCAGCTGTGCTGAGAGATGATAACTCATGCAAGAGATGTCACACTTTGAAGTGCGCAGTGTCTTCTGCACACGTCAACTTTTCTTCAGTGAAATATAAAGTCTTACGGGTGGCACTTTTTATCAAAAATATTGGCGTCTTTAATTAAGCCACTGAATTACATCTTCAACACAGTTTGAGGTTTTGATCGTGCAATGGCAGCATAAAACACTCTCAGAGATTGCAACAATAAATTTGAATTCTAAAGGAGGGGCCTTCAAACAACAGCCATCATTCATCCATTCAAGGCCCCTAAACCTATTAGAAAAGATTATATATTTCATCTGTAATGTCATCCCCATATCCCCCCCCCCCACACACACCTACACACACACACACACACACACACACACACCCTCTCTCCTTCCACTCGCCAGATCAATTAGCAGATTAGTGGTTGTGTGGGATAGATTGAAGGCCTGAGCTCAGGATATCATCTGTGTCTAATGCATTTTCTGGAGAGGGAGTGAACATGAGCTTCACTGTCAGGGGACTATTGACAGTTTGGAGTGCAGGGTTACGTTTGCCCTCCGAGGATTCATCATCTGCCATTTCCTGTCTGTAATTTATTTACTTTGATAATGCCCACTGAGGCTGTATTGATGTTCAGGTAATTATCTAATATTCCATATATTTTAATGCCAGGTTCCCCCTTCCTTCACTATGTTGTATATATGTTTCACATGTAAAAGGCTGTTTAATATATTTCTTGAATTTCCTTTCTTTTGTGCCTTTTTCTCAATCATTTATAGTGTTTCTCTATTCATTTTCTCATTCATGTTGTTAACATGGCTATAACATTGCTTTCTGTGATTACACATTTTTTTCTTCGTATTTTTCATTGTTGACTCAAATTATTGAGGATTTGATCGGGTATTTCTGTGCAAGATTGTACTACTTCTGGACTATATTTTCTCAATAAAATATACTGTATATCACATATATATCTTTAGATACGCATACATGGTACACAGACTACCCTGTCTGCTCCAATTTAAAATGCTTTTCATGTCTTTGTTTTTTTCCTTCCCATTGTTGAATGTATAAGTTTTCTATGGACAGTCTGCCTGTCATTGCACACAGTTTTTCCATTAACATGCAGGGCTTCAGTTCTTGGATGATGCTTTTCCCCCTCTGGTATGTTTGCATGAGGAATAAGAGGCAATTTGTTCACAGCAAATTCCACCTGTATTTACACAGTCAGTCTGTGTCTTTGTTTACACTCACGTATATAGTTGCACAGGTTTGTGGCTTGACTGTTTAGACAGCAGTGTGACTCTTTAATTCTGACGGCCAGCGTACGTAGAGGTGGAGTCAGTCTAGTCATAGTCTTAATATTTTATTATGATATTAATAAAAAAATTTAAATCAGTTTAGCAACAGCAGCAGTTTGACTTTCTGTACTTTTATATAGTAATGAATTTTAACAGCTGCAGTGTCAGTTATTGATATCGTTGTCGCCATTTTTGTACTTTATTCATACTTCAAAAAGATTTGATACAGTTGATCATTAAATAATCTTCAGCAGACTGCAGTATTTAGTTCTCGGTGATGTTGCAATCACTTGATTCCAAGCGTATCTTACAGGGAGAAGTTACATTGTTGTGGCTGATGGTTGTGAACATTGTCGCACGTAATGTTGTTGAACTAATAGTTTCACAATGTTAACCAAATGTCATTATTCGTTTCTGCAAGCATAACACAAGGTTTGTGTGAAGTTTTTTGATCAAACTTTTTTATCTTCAGAAACGTCGAGGTCTTACATATCCCATGGTTTTCAGAAATATGCAGCGGCTGGGTTGCCCATTTTCAGTCTGCTTTCCAGATATGATTTAGTGATTATGAATGCTGTTTTGTTTTTAGGTCCGACTTGAAAAAGAGACATTGTTCCCTAATTGAATAAAAGTTACCATAATTATTTGTATTATTGTTTTACTCTCTACTGTGTTCATTTGCTCAATGACACTACACTTCTACCCTTTGAAATGCTGCACACTTCAAGCAGTCTGTTAGATAAATAAGACATCACAAAGTATTTCACCTGAAAAGGAAGATTTATCCAGTAAGGCTTCCTGGTTCATGGCATGTACACTTTGTGATCACAAGAGAACATTGAAAAATCAATGCTAATGAATTTAAAAACCAAAGTGGCAGCCGCTCTTCGAGGACCTTCCTGTGTCTGTCGGCTTGAGTTGCAGTCAATTACTCCTGTCTGTGTTGAGATTGTGCTAATGCATCACAGCCTCTGATAGTAAATAATAAATGTCCCCCATCATCTCACCTTGAAGAAGTGTTTTTATTACTATCATCAGACAAACAGATGCAGCTATTGCTTAAAGGTAAAAGCAACATGCAAAAAAGTGTATTTATGTTGAGACGTTGAGACGTTTATCAACTTTTGATTATGTAGCCTCCTAGGCAGTAATACATTTCTGTCAAGACTTGTTGTTTTTACAGTCAAAAAACATACAGACTGAAATCCATCATGAAAGAGGACACAGTGTTTTCCATCAACAGAAATGTAATCGAATACAATCTAAGCTCTATACCTGCTGCGTTTTACACGAAGCCTTTGGCTTTATCTCAATAACTCACTCATATTATAAAG